ATATTTTTGGAGATGTTACTTTTTATTTTCACTCTACTGTAAATATTAAGGGTGGCAAAGATTCGAAAGAATAGAACTCATCATCGTCATCATTACAGCCTATCAAAAGTCTACTGAACTAAACATAGTCCTCCCCCATAAATTGTCAAATAGACTGGATATTTGCTATAATTGCCACGCTTGGCAGGCGGGTTGGCAAACGCTACTCTTATTATTTTGGACTGTTGTCAGGGAAATGATGTTGCCCATCTCCTGTTTGTTTTCCTCCTTCGCCTCTACCGACATACACGGGACCATATGATGTGGCGGATTCTCTTTCGCAAATAAGGCAAATTTTTCTACTCCCGTTCATGTGTGTAGTTCTTCCGACGTTCACTGTGAATAGAACTTAATTTGCAATAAAACTAATCTTAAAATTTTAATTAAAAATACTAAATAACAAATAACCCCAGAACATTTTGTACTAAAACAAAAGTTGGGATTTCAGTCCAATACGCTTTTTAAATTAAAAGTTACTAGAAAATCAACTAATTATAATGGCGTTTTATGTGCCTACTGTATGTAATAAACGTTGGTTGAGCTTTTTTTATAAGATAAGGGAGACAAATGAACTCACAGTTTACCTGACGGTAAGTGGTTGCTATGGCCCATAGACATTTACATCTATCCTCGATTGTGAATCAAAATACAGATACGTTGTCAGCCGTGAGGACTAAGATGAAATGCCTCGTTTCCAGTAAAAAGGGTCTCCGGTTCTCTACACTCACCATACGAAACATAACAGCGTTGAGCTGTTATTTTATCTTCTACCTAAATATTTTACGCTAGTATTTTTCGAGAGCGTGGTATTTCCCCGTCAAGCCGACTCATTTGTGCTACAACTATACTACTAATATAGCTGCTGCAATCTACCACGTAAAAACAACTTTTTAATATTGGGTGGGAGATCCCATCCGATGAATTTTAAACGGGCCTCTAACGGTATAGTTACGCTACTGCTGTAAGTATTACGAAAGACCAAGCAAAACGTTTGGTTTAAATCCAAGGAATATCGACAACAAAGGGGTAAAGACCCGTCGGTCACCTGGTTGTCCGACGGTGGAAAGGGGAGGGAGGGATTAAGGCATGTAATGGTTTCAAATAGCGATATTTTTTGCCTTTCTGTTTGAGAGCTTCGACTGCACCAACTTGGTGGTCCAAAAATTAAAAGTAGTGGATTCTCTTAGACCACCGCTACACGGCAAAAATCATATGACTCTTGTTAAAAAATAAAACTTTATTAGATTTTTAATTGTTGGTCCTAGTTGTAACAATTTATACCTATTTTTTATTAATAAGTGTGTATAAATAAACATGCAAACATTTTATTCTGTAGATGTTATCTGCAATTGTATCTGCATATCTGTAGTCAAAGATATAATAATTTATTAAAATAATTATTCAAAGTCAGATAAATAACCTTGGAACTGATTTACATTTAATCAATATTAAGAAGATAATAAATAGGGGAATAACAGCCAAATGCAATTTAATATTTATGTAGAATATAGATAATCTTAATTATAACTTCAAAAAGGATTCCAATGTGATAATACATATCTTAACTGGACTTCTGTAATACACCCGCTCAGAAAGATTGTCTGTATCTATTTCACCTTCACATTACCACCTATTTATTATACGGCTAGAAAAAAAATCTGTTTTTTTTTTTCATAGCATGCATTAGTCGTCACCGTAATCGTTTTAAATATTAGGTACAAGCAAAAAATAATGTTATCCAATAAACTAATTAGTGGTTATTATTAGTATATTTTATCTTCAATCAAAACAATTCCATGGCCATCCCTGGAACTTCCGGCTTATTTTCGAGCGCAACGCTCGAAAACCTATTTAATTTTTTTTGTTTGGTTTTTATCTTTTGAAAATCTTTGAATATTCAGATTGACAGCTGGAACTCTCAATGAACACTTTCGAACGCCGTGTCGCCCATCTCGATCGGTTGATACGTTCCAAAGCCGTATGAACCCATCGACTTTGAACGTATCAACGACAAAATTTTATTTACATACATACACAAACACAGACGGCCGGACGTCCAGCCGGAAATAGTGGGACCTCAAAACGAGGAGAAAAAAAGTCCGCGATACCATATGTCTATTTCTTATACATAAGCCATAATTTGGTATTTTGTGACAAAAAAATATTGAAAATTCAAAAGTGATTTATGAGCGTTATTATTAGGCATGGCCTACGAACGAAAGTTACTTCATCATCAAGACAATTTTATGAAGATAAACTTTGTTCTTTATACCATGTTATTTGGACGCATAGTTTAAGAGATAATGTAAAATTAAAATAATTCAATACTTGGCTGGGCGCGCGAACGACGCTTAAACCCTAGCCGTTATAAATTGCTTGAACTAGGTCATGTCGCGCACCTCGGACACGTGATGACGCGGGTGAAACCGCGGGGCACAGCTAGTATTATATAATATATCATACACTTCTATAGAAGCTATCGAATTTATACCTGCGTTAAATGAAGATGATATGTGGTGGGCAGGCGGTGTAGGTGGGCAGGAAGGTGGGCAATGTTTGGTTACGATCCGCAGTCGATTAAAGGAGTTACGGAGAATTGACCGTAACTTAGTGCGCAATGAATTAAGGCCACAAATCTCGTCGAGCAGTATACTTAAAAATCTTTGTATAGTCCCAATTTTGAAGCACTTACGAGCTCTTTTTCACGTCTTTTACACGGACTTACTGCCACTTATATTTCTTTTAAAATAAAACATAATACGCACTTTGCCAATTTATTACATTTAGTCGGATATTGGCTTTTTGTACAAATACCGTAAATTTTGCACAGTTCTGTGGCGGCGCTGTCGTCACGCCACAAGCGAAACATATCGAAACCTAAATCGCGCTAACAAAGTTCCGAAGTTAAAGGAGGCATATATAGAATAGCTCCGAACTAACAATCGGAGCGTTGGCCGCTCCCCGGGCAGAACACCTTGCCCGGCGGGAGATCTCCCCTTTTCCTTCTACCCGGCCACAGTTCTTTAATTTTTTGGAAAGAAATTCCTTATCGGATAGTACGGGTTTGGTTTAGCGGATGGTTGCTAGGCGACAAAAAGTGTAAGATTTTTTCGTCACTACCCCTTGTATCATAGTGTAGACGGCCTTGGCGGCGAAATAAGGAAGTGAGATGGAATAATATTCATTTCCCCCGCACTTTTTCTTATCTTGCCATGAAAGAAATATTATTTTATTTCCAATGACGCTTCATTTTAATAGACGCTAGTAATTCATTTATTTGTATTTGTTAATCAATAATATAATACCTACGTTTATCAATAATAATATACATGGAACTTCGTTCCAACCGAGTGTTCCACGACACTCACGCATTTTTTTTTATATACGTTACCTCCACAATAGGATTTTCTCCTGTATCGTCGGAGCAGTTAACATACATAAATTTTACAAGAATAAACATCCAGGCCCGGAACAAATATTTGTAGGCCATACAAATACTTGTTCCGTGAGGGATGCGATCCCGCGGTCCTTAGCGCTGCAACTCATTTTTGGAATGAAGTTCCTTATCGCACGGTACGAATTTGGCGGATGGAGGCTAGGCGAGAAAAAGTGTAAGATTTGTCCGTCACGACCCCCTTTCCATAGTGCGAGCGAGATGGAATAATATCCATTTCCCTCGCACTTTTTCTAATCTTGCAATGAAATAAATATTATTTTAAATGACGCTTCATTTTAATAGACGCTAGTGATTCATTTATTTGTATTTGTTAATCTATAATATAATACATTTATCAATAATAATATATTACGAAAGGAACTTCGTTCCAACCGAGTTTTCCACGACACTCACGAATATTCGTTGACAAACGAGCACACATCCACATTGGTAATTGGATGCTGTGGCCCACAGACATCCACAATTATCCTCAATTAAGAATCAAAATGTAGATGTGTCCCGAGGCATTCCATCTTAGTCCCCTGAGGACTAAGATGGAATGCCTCGTTTCCAGTAAAAGGGGTATCTGGTTCTCTACACTCACCATACGAAACACAGCAGCATTAAGCTGCTATTTTAAGCTGGTATAATGTGAGAGCGTGGTCCAAGCCCGCTCGATGCGACTCATTCGTGGGACAACCAAAATATAGTTACAACGTGGCTCTACCACGTAAAACTCATTGCTAAGCCACTGCGCTACGTAGGCGTCAAATTAGTACAACCACGGAATAAATAATAGTACTAAATAGTACAACTTAACTGATGGTAAAAAAGAAAGAAAGACTCATCTACGTGCTCGCAGTTTGCGCTTGATGATAATAATGGTGACGTACAGATAACGAAATTATCATAATAATGCGGTTATGAGTTATGACTGTATAATATGTCTGACAACGCTAGTGAGGGGATAAATTGTCAAGATTAAAGAAAGTAGATATAATAAAATTCTCAAGATTAAAATTATATTGTATCTCCCTATATAAAAATTAATAAATAATTGTAAAATGGTTTACTTACCTACTTTTATTTCTACATTATTAAATACTTTGTATTTTGACTTTGAAGCAGAGTGTATTCTAATTTTTTCTTTTTTTTATAGAATACGGGTGACAAGCGAGCACACAGTCCACCTGATGGTAAGTGGTTGCTGTGGCCTGTAGACATCTACATCTATCTTCGTTTGCGAATTAAAATGCATATGCGTTGTCAGCCGTGAGGACTAAGATAGAATGCCTCTTTTCTAGTAAAATGGGTTTCTGGTTCTCTACACTCACCATACGAAACACAGCAGCATTAAGCTGCTATTTTACGCTGATAATCTGTGAGAGCGTGGTTCTTCCCCGCTCGAGCCGACCCATTCATGCTACAATTATACTATTAATATAGGTGCAGCGTGGCTCCACCACGTAAAAAAAATATTTATATATACCACGTAAAAATAATTAATTATTTCGAATTGTTTCAGTGAAAACAGAATGTTTGCTGATATAGGAGAACGCATTCGTTCAGCCATCACATATCAGCGTGAGAAGCGGCAAGTAGCTTTCGATGCAGAAGAAGCGCTTCAATGGATGGATAGTACTAATATAGACAGAAATATCATAAGTATCCCCAACCAATGTCCCCTTGGATACAAACCTGATGCGCTTGGAATTTGCCGACCGATTTTTGACTAATTGAAGACAAGATTTCTATTAAAGATTAAGTTCTCATAAAATATTATGGAATCGGTTGTTTTTCATGAAATTACATGTTTATTTTTTCTAATATAATAAAAAAAATTTAAAGAAAAATACTTTCTTATTTGTAACGTTACCATCTATCCATTTCATAGAAACACCAGAAACAGTGTCTCGCCTGGTGAGTGTATATGGTGGGTACCCGGTGAACCATCCCCACCCCTTTAATAACATATGTGTGGTTTTAAAACTATAACTACCCTAGGAGGATATTAGCACCGATCCTAGAGAATTCGTCACGAAGTATCCACGACCAAGCCCTCCCACTCTCTCTGAGCGTGGTTGCTCAGGTGCCTTTTTAGGTTCCACAGCGGTAATGCTAAAACAGACCGACTCCTCGAACAACTCCAAAAGGCTACAGATTCGTACAACAGATGCCATCTACAGAGATCGTGCTCTTTGGCGATTACAACATGACACGGCTATCTCACACGATCGGACAAAGATCAGGCGCAATGGACCAAAATATGTGTGCCCTGTAGAGGACAGTTATTACTATCAAGGTTATAATACCCTTTGACTACGTCGAACTGACCGAGGAGCTTATAAATCACTACTTTAGGACTATCGATCGAGGTGTCAGCCGACTTATGACCATACACAATGATATATTTAGATATATATTAGGAAGACTTAGTCAAAATTTCATATAGTGATTTCCTATGTTCACGCGAACACTACCACATTGAATGAAACTAGTTTTTACAAATTTTATTGCTTTAATCAACTTATTTTATATTCCCGACGTTTCGAGTACTTTGCAGCTTCTATGGTAACGGTGGGACTGAGATATTCGACGTCCCAATGTCATAATTTATCACGACCGACCTGTTTTAAAATTATTTATTTTTGGTCAGTTCAACACAAAAATAACTTCTATTGTTTTATAGTCTAGAAGTGGTATGCTTTGGTTGGGATTTAATTTTATTATTTATAGGATCCCAAGAAAATGCACCCAGCCATCTTCCCTTTTCAAATTAGGATGTTTTTGACTTGAACCAAACGGCAATTTTTCATTGATGTCACAGTGTTCACGAAGTTGAAAACTGTAGTAGTAAGTACTTAAATTTAAGTTAGAGAGGTCACATATACTGAAGTCACCACTCAGTCTCCATCGTGCTCTAATCCAAAGGTTCGCAAAACTTTCAGCTCGAAATTACAAGATCGTATTCAGTGTCTAGAAGATGCCTAGAAGATTGAGAGGTTCTAGAGACAGCTTTACATATTATTGTTGTAGCCGCACACAAGTGTAAGTAACGATTCAAGAGCAACTCTCATTATTCCGATGATATCCCGGACATTAGTCTAAGGTCTAAGCGAGATTAGATTGACTCTCCAACACCTTAAAAACGGCAAGGCCCCAAGTGAGGATGGAATTACAGTGGAGCTTCTGAAAGCGTGCGGCAAACCGGTACTTAAAGTCTTTCAGAAGCTCTTCGATTCCGTCCTCAATGGCGGCACTACTCTAAAGGCATGAAGCAAAAGTGAAGTCTTGTTCTTCGAGAAAGGCGACAACGCTTTATTGAAGAACTACAGACCGATTTCCCTCCTAAGTCACGTATAAATGATGTTTTCGAGAGTTATTACGAATCGCAGGCTTGATGCACCCGATCCTTTAAAAATGTGACCGCTCAGAGCTATGGGCAGAAATGGGACATAGCGAAGGCCTTCGATCGCATTTGGCAAAAAGCGCTTTTATCGGAGCATCCCTCTTATGAGCTTCCCAAGAAATTACGCAACTGGGTCATCAGGTTTTTGCAGATTTTTTTTTACTTAGTTTAGCATTACGGTGATGCAGACAATAGCACTGGCGATGCTTTATACACCGGCCGTGCTAATATTTCTCGGGAACACGCCATCAAGTTCTGGAATAACAGTTTACGTTTACTGCAAAAAAACCCTGTGTAGTATCTTCTCAATTTCAGGGCATTCCTCATTTTGACTCCACGATTATATCCGTCTGGATAAAGGTCAGCAGAAGGTGCAACAAGGAAGGTGCATGATCCTCCACATCTGGGATCCGCGTCGGCGAAGTAATCAGTTGTGTCAGACCATATGCAAAGGCAAAGTCATAAACAGATCTACCCTCATGATCGGTCAAACGGAACGCCATCCAGCGTGGTGGGCGTTAAAATCACCGAGGATCACGATCTCTCCAGATGGGACCTGTTGTAGCACGGAGTCTGCAGCATTTAGACGTGGTCGATGAGTCGGTCTGTGTCGGCATTACTTTTATGGAACATATAGAGGCACCCGTGGACGCTGTCTAGGCGCAGTCATAGGATGGACAGGTCCATACCTTCAAGATTGCCGAGGCGTTGAAAACAGATGTCCTCTCTTACGTATAAGCAAACTCGACAGTGCGACAAGTCGCGGTACTAAAATATTCGCTGAAATTCATTGCAATGATGTCATATCATCATTTCAATGAATTTCGTGCCAATATTTGATGGTTTGAACCAGATGGATTACCGACAATAATTATAAAGTCTGATGGCTGATTATCAGAGTAGGTCAATCTTGCGTCCGTATACTGGATGCAATAAGTCGATCGTACGCAATATCATCGATAATTTCACCTATATATATACGACCCTTCATATAAAAAATGGTATTGTTATTGAGTGTCACTTATCAGGATAAAAACTATCCTATCTCTCAAGTTGGACCAAAATGCACACAGTGTAAAAAATTTCATTGAAATCACTTCAGTAGTTTAGGAGTCCATCGCGGACAAACAATGTGACACGTAATTTTTATATATAAAGATATATATACGAAAGTTTGGTTGTTTGTTACTCCTTCACGCCACAACGACTGAACCGATTTGGATACTCTAAATTAACACATTATCTACATGTTATCCCAGAAAATTAAAAAACTTTAATCCACGTGGACGAAGTCATAAGCTTCATTTAATTAACAAATTATATAATTGAATATATTTTTCAATTATTTTATTTGTAAGTCATAAACATAAGACTGGAGTCACTCAAGAGTCTCATGGGAAGTGCGGTTGTCACATTGCGATTATTTAGTATTACGATTTTTATGAAATATTAAGTACTCGATTACCTAATCGGTAAAATTTTTGATTATTATTTATGATATTATTTTAAATTATTTTAATAGAAAAAAAACCTGTATCACAATAAAAAATACTAACATATGGAATAAACTCCATCTATTTGTAAATTTTAAGTATTCGACTGCTTTATTCACATGTTAACCGCACACGTTTTCCTTATTGCAAAGTAACCAATTTTATTCAGTTATAGTTATATATCGACGTTATAAGATGAGCGTTTTTACCTATTTTGGAACGAAGTTCCTTATCGGACGGTACGAATTTGGCGGATGGGGGCTAGGTGAGAAAAAGTGTAAGATATTTCCGTCACGACCCCTTCTGACGTAGTGAAGACGGCTTTGGCGGCTATAAGGAAGCGAGATGGAATATTATCCATCTCCCTCGCACTTTTTCTTATCTTGCCATGAAAGAAATATTATTTTATGTTAAATGACGCTTCATTTTAATAGACGCTAGTAATTCATTTATTTGTTTAATTATTGTTATTATTTGTTATTTGTTTAATTAATGAATAATATAATACCTTTAAAAAAAGTTAAAGTTACAACCTATATACGTCAAACTGCAGGGCACAGGCCTCTCCTCATTTCTGAGAGGGCTTTAGGACAAGGAAATGCCCACCGCGCTGCTCCAATGCGTGTTGGCGAACTTCACATGTCTTCGAAATTTTCTTTCTTATTTTCTCAGATATGCATGTTTCCTCACGATGTTTTCTTTCTCCGCCGAGCACGTGGTAAATCAGAGCTTAAAATTGCAATTAACAATTTCATTTGTGCCGGCGGGGATCGACCCCGGGTTGCTGGCGTACTGTGAAATTTACAGCGAGCGCTAACCATCTGGACTACCACGGCTCATAATACGTTTATGAGCCGTGGTAGTTAATCAATAATATAATACCTACGTTTATCAATAATAATATACTACGAAAGGAACTTTGTTCCAACCGAGTGTTCCACGACACTCACGCATGTTTATTTTACTTATAAACTGCATGGATGCAGTTTAAAAAACTATTAGTAAATCTAATTGTGCATGGCCTAAATTTTTAAAGTAGTTTAAATACACACAAATTTTCACTAATTACCTTATAACTATACTTCCAATTTTCTAATATCTTTATGTCAAACTTCAATTAAAAAAAAAGTTTGAAAAATCCAAAAGTGCCCGACTCACAATGCCCTGTGATAGTGAAAAAATTAAAAAAAATATGTAAATTGTAGTTCTATTCGTCAATGAGTTCAAGTAGCAGTCAACGAAGTACACCTTGAAGTCAGTCCGTCAAGTCCGGAGGTAAGGTCTATTCTATATATTATATCTATTATATTCTAGAACTAACAAAACGAGGCTATACTCAGCACATCTAGTTCTTCTCGTCGAGGAGTTCCAGTAGCAGTCATCAAAGTACACTTTCAAGTCACTCTATCCAGTCCGGAGGTAAGGTCTCATCATAAATAACAAAACGAGCCCAAACTCGGCACATCTAGTTCTCCTCCTCGAGGAGTTCCAGTAGCAGTCATCAAAGTACACTTTCAAGTCACTATCATGTCGGAGGTAAGGTCTCATCATAACTAACAAAACGAGCCAAAACTCGGCACATCTAGTTCTCCTCGACGAGCAGTTCCAGCAGCAGATACCAACACACCTTCAGGTCTATAAAGTTCAAGACGTATAATTATATTTGTATATAAATCCTGCGTGCTTTTAGCGAAACAAAATATTTTAATAAAAATCTGTGATTATAAAAATAATAATAATGTCTTACCTTGGTCAAGTATGTATTAAATTTGGTTTTTGGAATATTTTGTATTTCTACGGGGATCGATATTTTTCTGCACGAGGTGCTGTAACAAACGATCACTCACGACGGCATTTGAGGCATAGATAAATAAATATGCAGTAGCAAGTATGGAGTGTAGAGTACAAGGAGAACCATCTTATAAGGGGCGAAAGTTGAAAGTGTCCCACTATTTACTGAAAATAGAGGTTCCAAAACGTACCACAATAGCGCTGGCATCTGAAAAACTACGATATGAAGATAGCTGTTGTGAACGGAGTGAAGCAGCTGAATTCAAATATTTAAAAAATTTCATGATTAGAGTAGTTAGTAAAATGGCCAGTATACAAAATCTCAACTATTTACGTAGTACAAAACCAAGCAGATTGGTCGGTCCTTGTTTATTTCTCCATCTTATTCTAATTACTTTAAGGCGCATTTTTTTTAAATTTATCCTATGCTACAGCAGCGCCACCCTTATTGGACACGTTTTTAGGGACAGTTTTCATTGTATAGAGATGGTCCTCCTTCTCTCTACACTGCATAGTAGCAAGCTAATAGGCCGGAGTATATAAAGTACTCTGTAGCTATTGCTCGGAGTACGACTTCGGCCTATTTAGTAAAATAAATTAATACAAGGCTGCTAAAACCATCGAAGATTTCGCTCTTTTTGAGCCGAAAAAAATTAATTATAACCAAACAAGACATGATAGATGAAGAGATTAAAAAATAGATTGAGTTAAACAATTGATATTTTCAAAAGTTGTCGTGTTTACGCCGCCATGCGGACTTGTTAAATCTACGCCATAAGCCACTAAAACCCCTTTTTATGTAAAAATAGCAATTAATCAATTTAAAAAAATATTAATAAGTTCAACAATCATCTATCTTGCTGACAATGTATTTTTTATATCATTTATATGTATAATATGCTTGCTAGATACGATTTCATGTGACAAAACGCTGGAATTTTAATGTTTAGGCCCTAGCAGAACATACCTGCGCGCTTCGCGCTTAAGGCGTGCAATAACTAATATTTTGAGATGTGTTTTTTGAAATTGGCATGTATTTATCGCATCGACAAATTAATCTGAAGTATATACACAGTAATCAATGAATCTGAATTAGGGATTTAAAAAAATTAAAGCCGGTAGCAAAAATAATAGGTTGGCAGCAGGGGCGTAGCTACCGCCGTATCAGCCATATCAATGATACGGGGGCCCCGGTCTACAGGGGCCCCGAACGTGTGTAAGTAAAAATTCCAAGGACTTCTATGGGACAGGAAAGCTATCACTATTGTATATAGAAGCAAAGAATTTAGTAAAACTGAAATCGTCTTCAGTTATGAATGCCGCCGAATCGTCTTCAGCTACGTTCGCTGAACAAAATGCACGAAAAGTGTATTATTGATTTGAATTGTTTGGCTAGCTTAGTTTCTAAGAGTATTAATTGTAAGTAATAACTTTAATCAATTCATGCATTCGACACTTAACAAATTTGGTTTTATTAACTTTTTCCAGTTAATACTGAATTTAACGCAGTTTTAAGGATGGTGCAATTATATTCAACCAAGATGCAGTTTTTTCATATTCCCAAAAGTACCCAATTCTAATTACTTGAAGTAATATCGAAGTTATAAAGTGAGCGATTTTTATCTATGTTTTTATTTCTAAACTACAAGGGCTCAGTTTAAATAATTAATATTTTTGAGATGCGCTATTTAAAAATAAGGCTGTCAATATTTTTTTTTATATATATTATTTTCAACCATAGACAAACGATACCTTAGAATTTGACATTTTATACTCTTAGTAGTCTGTGCGCTGCCAATGCCAAGTGCCAACAATCAACTTAAGCCAATGACCAGTCAAGCCAATTTGTATTGCAAATTGCAAAGTAAACTTATTTTGACACTGAATCATAATGGTTCTAAATAAAAATAATTTATTATCTTTAGTACACTCAAACTTTACCTATTAGTCATTAAACCTTAAAGTTACACAGAAATAAACAGTATGATTAAAAAAATATTAAACATAGAGCATCTTAAATTTTGTTTTCAAATTCTTTAATTTAAAGTGTAATTAATAAAACTGTGATAGAACGTAATTATGTCTGAAGTTAAAGGCACTAAAGCTTTAGAACTATGGTGCAAACGACTGGTGAAAGATTGCCCTACTGTTCAGATTGATAATATGACAACATCTTGGAGAAATGGAATGGCATTTTGTGCATTAGTTCATCATTTCAGACCGGATTTAATGTAATTTCGTTATTAAATATGTCTAATATGCCACCAATAACATTACTTCTTAAACAAAATTAAATAGTGAATTTTTTCCAGTGACCTATCTAAACTGAAACCTGAAAATATATATGAAAATAATCAACTAGCGTTTAGCATAGCAGAAAAACATTTAGGCATTCCTGCTTTACTTGATCCGGAAGATATGGTAGAAAATGATGTTCCAGACAGATTATCTGTATTAACATACTTATCTCAGTTTTACCAGCGCTTAAGTCATACAGGTAAGCCATATGGGTTAGTTATCATGTAACTTTCTTACAAAAGTGAAAATATATATAAATTATCAAGTACTATTTTATATTAATATATTAGGATAACATTTCTTATTAACCACTTTGATCAATAAAATGCTTTCCTGTTTTTACCTGACTGTACTAAAAATGTTTCATTTACATTTTTTTTAAACTATTTTAAGCCTGTGCATGACTACTACCACCTGATGGTAAATGGTGATGTAGCCAAAGACAGGGTTTCTATAAGATCTGTAAGTCATCAAACCTAACATATTTTGACTTACAAAGTGAAATTGGATGTTTTTCATCTCTAGACTATCTTAGGCTATATTTTATGATAATACAATATGGTACTTAATACATAATGTTGCTTGCTTGTAGTATATCCCGAAAATCTGTAATTTTAAATATTAAGGTTAAAAGTTACTAGTTTACTCTTGTTCTTGTCCTTTTTAACTTCATATCTATTGATGCCTTAGAGCTAGAAAAGTTAAGAATAATTTTTTGTGATATTGACTTATACATATAATTGGTATTGCCGGTTTATGAGTCTTTTAATCTTAACCTCAGAATTCTAGGACATACTTTTTGTTGAAAAATGGTATTTCATAAGAGATTAATGTTAATTGGGCTTTTGGTAACATATTCTTGCTAGAACAATAACCTGTTTGGGTTAGAAATAATTTATGCGTATAAGAAAGATATATTTATCACATTTTGGTTGAATTTTTATTTTCCAAAAACTTTAGTAAAACATTGCGTTGGGTTTATACCAAGTTGCCTGAATTTGATGAGTCTGTCACTGTGGAGGGTTCAAGGGGGCTTTGCGAGCAATTTTAGCTGCTGGAGCTGTGTCAAAATATTTAAAATAATTTTCTAAAAATATTCTTAAATCACTAATTAACCTGAAACGGAACTTCTACACAAAATTCTTACGTTTTTTAAGTTGCATCTGTCTTAAGTTCACCCAGTAAAAAGTTATGAGGAAACATAAAAAAAAGAAAAAATTATTATTATACAAATTTAAATAATTTAAAATTAAAAATTTTGTACAACCCACTTCAATATAAATTATTAAGAATAAATAAAAACTATTGGACAGACCTTAATCAAATTTATATGTGACCACATGTGAAGCACCAGCTTTCAAATAAAAAAGTTATCAAAGGAATCATGCAAGATTATGAAACATAATAAAGATCCATCTTTAGAAATGGTGGAAGTGATAAAATACGAGTATATTTACTTATTAAAGTAATTATAAAAGTTAACATTTTGTTTTATTCGGTGGGGCTCCGTCGACTACGCTTTGGTATTACTTCGGAGAGAAAATTGGAAATATAGTTATAAGGTTAAAACTTGTGTGTATTTACAACAACTTTAAAAATTTAGGCCATGCACAATTAGATTTATTAATAGTTTTTTAAACTGCACCCATGTAGTTTATAAATAAAAAAAACATGCGTAAGTGTCGTGGAACACTCGGTTGGAACAAAGTTCCTTTTGTAGTATATTATTATTGATAAACGTAGGTATTATATTATTGATTAACTACCACGGCTCATAAACATATTATGAGCCGTGGTAGTCCAGATGGTTAGCGCTCACTGTAAATTTCACAGTACGCGAGCAATCCGGGGTCGATCCCCGCCGGCACCAATGAAATTGTTAATTGCAATTCTAAGCTCTGATTTACCACGTGCTCAGCGGTGAAAGAAAACAAACATTTCGAAGACATGTGAAGTTCGCCAACACGCATTGGGGCAGCGCGGTGGGCATTTCCTTGTCCTAAAGCCCTCTCAGAAATGAGGGGAGGCCTGTGCCCAGCAGTTTGAGGAATATAGGTTGTAACTTTAACTTTTTTAAAGGTATTATATTATTGATTAACAAATACAAATAAATTAATTACTAGCGTCTATTAAAATGACGCATCATTTGAAATATAATAATATTTCTTTCATGGCAAGATAAGAAAAGTGCGGAGGAGATGGATATTATTCCATCTCCCTTCCTTATTTCGTCGCCAAGGCGATGTAACTTCACGCCTTATGAATGTCATGAAAATTTTGAGTTTGTTTGCCACATGCCAACTTTACTTCAAAAAGAGAATATTGTGCATGGAACTACTTATTTACCATCGTCTCAAAAAGTGGCTGCGGGACGTATTTACGTAGGATGACAAAATGAGTAATGCACGTCAATTTATTAGGTAAGCACCAGTGGCTTAGAGCTGGAGAATTGGTTATATCCACATCAAAATATGAGACGAAAAGTTCTTCTAAATGTGTAGTGGGGAAACAGGATTATTTACAGGGGGGACCTTTTGCTAATTAACACTACAATCACGGAAGAAATTAACTGTGAGCAACTGGATTATGTAGCAGCAAGATTACCGAAAAATCTAAATCAAATATAATTTTAAAAACATGATTATGCCATAGCAACATCACACATGCACAGCACACATGACTAGGGCGACTCGTGAAAAAATTCTTTCAATTGACTGGGCTGTCCTTTACCATCCACTTTATTCCCTAGATATTGAACCCTCAGGCTACCAGCTATACTGTTCTTGCTAATGCAGCAGCAAAAAAGGCAGCCTATTGCCTATTCCACCAACTATTGGCCAATTTCAATTACTACCATCATACTCTTTAAGATTGGAAAGGAGTGTAATTAGTTGCTTCAAGACAAGAGTAGGCTTTTGTTACACTAAGACAGTGCGATATACACAGACAGGGATTCATAATTTATTATAATTTCTTCAATTTTAATAAAACAAATTCAGCAGTTAAACTATTTAGGCTGGAAGTAAAATGAGTAATATATTGTTTGAAAAAAAAAGTCTTATACTTTTATTCATCTATATTTAAATACATAAACCTTCAGAGCTTTTTTTGCACTTCACTAATTTCAATTTTTTATTTAAGCTATAATAATTAAATATTGACAAAGTTATTGTTGCGCTTAGTTGGTTTGGAATGGTTCGTGTAAAAAAGTATACACTTCTGGTGCGTCGCCCTTTTCTTTACCGAACTTGGCTGACACACTGTCACGTGTCCATAAGACTATTTAAGGCTATACGACGGATGCAGTTTATATTTCATTATGTAGAAAAATAATTAAAAACTATGACTAAGCTTTTCAAGCAAAAAAGAAATCATCAATTCAGCTATAGCTTCCAAAAGCTAAAGAATTTATATTATTTTTTAGTTAATTTTCTACAGATTTCAAAAAGGAGCCAGTACTCAATTCGACTGTAAGTTTTTTTTGTGTGTTACATCATAACTCTTTACTGGTTGAACCGATTTCGATGATTCTTTTTTCATCTGAAAGCTGGTGCTTCACATGTGGTCCCATGTAAATTTGATCACGGTCTGATCAATAGTTTTTGAGTTATTCTTAATAATTTATATTGAAGTCGATTGTACAAAATTTTTAATTATAAACTTTAAACTACTCTCCTGAAAAGTTTGCAGTAATGGTTATACCTTTCTGACAGTAATCCATCAATATAATTCATTTCAGTTTTTCCATTATTATTATCAGTCCATATTACGCTTCTTGAATATTTTTTTCGAGATTATCATATTTCTTCACCTTAAACGGTGGCAATAGGCTAAGTATATAGTTAAAATTTTGAATAAATAAAAAATTATTATGCTTTTGCAGTAAACACTAAAGTTTCTCAAAGTGAACCTAAAGCCACATCTCCTACATCAACACCGTCAGTTGTAAGTATCTAATGTACTAAACATTTATGCATATAGAATGTTCCTTTATGTGTTTGCTTTATTTGTCACTGTTCTTTTGTGTCTGTGCATTGTATTACTCTTTCTTACATCTTTAATTCTTTCTATGCAATCACTCTTGTAGACTCCTATAAGATTTGGAAAGACAGGTTTAGATAAATGCGCCGCATGTGGATTGCCTGTCTATTTGGCACAAAAACTCATAGTGGCACAAAAACTATATCATAGAAGATGTTTCCGATGTTCAAAGTGTTCAGGACATTTAAACCCAAAGAATTTCCAACTTGATGATGCATCTGAGTTTACTTGTGATACTTGTAAAAATGAAAAAAGTTTACCAAAAATTTTTAATAACAATGATCAAATGGGAATGCTAGCTTTTAGTAGCAATACAAGTGAAATAAAAAAAGATACTTTTACTGAAGAACAAGTAAGTCAAAGATATAAGACAAGGCCTCAGTCTATATTAGGTAAGCGTTTACTTTATTATATTATACCTTCCACTCTATATTTGCATGCCTCTATAGTGTTTATAGTTGTTTTATGTTTTCTTTTTGTAATTTGTGTGTAAAATGGTTCAATAATAATGTCTTGTAAAAATTGAACTTACAAAATGTTGTGTCTAAAAACTTTTGCATTTAATGTAATCTTAAAACAGAATATCTAATAATTAGATTACATGTGATTTAATGCATGTTTATCAGATTTGATGATGCTAATCTCTAAAGGATTGGTATGAAACTCATGTCTCCACATAGTATAGTAGATACTTCCTTTAACCCCTACTGTATGCATTTTCATGAATGGATGGATATAACTCTAGGCTTATCTTTTTTATCTAAACCGCTCGACCCAGCTTGACCTGGGTAAATCACCAGCGTAAAATATGTGTTTCGTATAGTGAGTGAAGAGAAATGGAGACTCTTTTTTACTGGAAACGAGGCAGTCCTCACTGGTGACAACGCATCTGCATTTTGATCTGTAGACCATAGCATCCACTTACCATCAGATGGACTGTGTGCTCTTTTGTCACCCTTATTCTATAAAAGAAGGTTCTTGAGTGGCAGTCTCGTACCGGTGGGCGACCCCCCCATTAGATGGAGCAACGACTTGGTAAAAGATACAGATAGTTGGTAAATGAAGGTGGCTTGAGACCGTACTTTTGGCATTCCTTTTGAGAAAACCTATGTATTTCAGTAGACACATAATGATGGTGAAATTTTCTGAAAGTGAAAGAGTTCGCTGTTTTCTCTTTCAACATGTTGAAATTTGAAATATCGATAATTATACAGCTTTTTGTCACATTTCACATTTTAGATTTCATCATCTATTGAATTTAATTGCAGATAAAATAAGTGTGTTTGAAAAAAATGTAGAAAAAGACACAAGTATTGACAACAAAATAGCAAGTATTAGTTTAAAAGATTCCTCTTATGTTAAGTTTAAAGAAGCAAATAAATCATTAGAAATTGAAACTAGCGGTAAAGAACAAACTAGCTCTTCTAAAGATTTTAATATGGAAAACATGAGTAATAGTGGTTCAAAAGATGACATATATAGCACAGACGAAAATTTCTACAAAAAGGTGCCCGAAAACCTGTATAAGAGTGACATAAATAAATTTAATTTTTTACAAACTCAATTATCAGGTGACAACTTAGACTCAAGTATTGCATCTAATAATACCGATGATACAGACACAAAATTAAAATATGATGAAATAAATATACTTAAAAAATCTTCCACTGATGATTATGATGATAAATTTAGAAATATTAATAAGAAAATAAAAGAAGAAAGTAACATAACGGATGACAACAGAATAGCTAAATCTAATTTAAACATATCTAGTTCCGTTACTTCTGTTTTTGGAAATAATAGTTTCAATAAAGACAATCCTGAAAATAGTATAAGTGTTCCCCCAAGAAGAAAAAAGAACCATGTGATAGCAGAAAAGAATACAAATGGCGTAAAAAAAGAGGTGTCAGGTAAACCCTGCAAAGATCATGAATATCCAGATTATTTAAACCCATTTTCGGATGACGATGAAGAGGTAATACATCGATTTTGTAAAAATTTGTTGTATTTTTATGCTTTTACTATTTTTTTTAAATATTTACTATTATAGGTAAAAGTTAAAGAAAACCAAATAAGAGTCAGTACTAATCCTTTTGGTAGCAGCGAAGAGGAAGATGATGACCCTGCTATCCAGCCGCAAGTAAAACAAAATACCCAATTGCCGACACCAATGTAAGGATAATTTATAGCATATTTATGGATTTATAATAACTAGTGTAACATTTTTGAAGTTTAATTGATTTTATTTTACAGAAAAAGGCATATAATAGCTCAAAACTCATATAATCCCTTTTGGTCTGATGGAGAAGATGCCTCGTCTGACGAAGAAACATGTAAAAGAGGGCAAGTATACATTTGACAAAAATTTATTTAAGTGAATTAAATCTATAGAACCATTGAGTTATATGTACTACGTACTAGAGAAGCCATTTCAAACAAGAACTGTGTCCTACTCTATGTTTTCGCGCATGCGCGGGAGTAGTAGTCGCGCATGCGCGAAGACTTTAATTTGATATAAAATAATATATTAATATAAAATAAATATAAGAATTTAATATAAAATATCTTAATTTCATCTAAACAAACATGTTATATTTCTAAATAAAATGTAATAATAATTATTTTATGAAATTCACAAATCTTCAATTTACGCAATATTTAGTTTGTACGGATTGCACTACAGTTCAGTTGAACATAGGCAATGTTCGGAATGGCTTCTCTAGTACGTAGTACATATAACTCAATGTACAGAACCGAAAAAGTTAATACTTTGATGTGTCATAAAAATCACAGACTTATTAGTAATGCTATCCTTTTGATGCAAACTTTAACACTGTACCGTCTTATTCTTATTTAAAATCCGATTACGGAAAAGGACCGTCGAAGGTTAGAGGGCGCGGGAGTATTTAGCTTTATTCATGTATTTTTTTTAATTAATTGTACTTTAGTTTCAATTTTGGTATAATAAACTAAAAGCTTGTATGATTTTGGACGTGGTAGAGCCATGCTCTATGGTATAGTTGTAGTACGATTGGGTCGGCTAGACCGGTGAAGGACCACGCTCTCACAGAATACCAGCGTAAAATAGCAGCCCAACACTCACCATACGAAACACATCAGTGTTTCGTATGGTGAGTGTAGAGAACCGGAGACCATTTTTACTGGAAACGAGGCATTCCATCTTAATCCTCACGGGTGACAACAAATCTGCATTTTGATTCGTAATCGAGGATAGAATTAGATGTCTATAGATTAGACACAGTTACCACTTACCATCAGAATCTTATCCTATAAAAAAAAATTAATTACATTATGGAAATCTAACATAATACTTCAGTCTTCTGACACAATAATTCTCTTTCCGCGAAATATTATCAGTCTTGCTTATTCAATGCTATCATAGGCATTTATAAGAATAACATCCATGACTGCATTACTGCACAAATACAACAATGAAGGGTTCGCCTATATTTTTTATGGGTTATGTCGGAGTCACACTGACTAAAACCCCACGGCGTTCCATTCGAATGGGTTTGCCAAGCCGCAAACATTAATTGATATTAATTAATTAATAAGACGAAAATATTATTAATTTATGAAGAACTTTGACAGTTAGAAATACAAAAAAAATTGATATACTAATCAAATGATGCTTGTAACTGAGATGAATGCTTAATATTTCAGTTCAAATATGTACAAGTCGTCTATGGCGACCAGCACGCCAAATTTGCCTACAAGCACACCACGCCGCAGGAAACCGAAAGCGCCACCCCCACCCCCAACAATTACCGTAAGCGAAGCCCAAGAAGCGGGAAGAAACTCAACCTCCATGGACGACGTAGCAAGCATATCATCACTAAGCTCTCACACATCAACAGTATACTCAGATCAGGTAAGTTTATAATACATTAGTATTGTTCTTGTATGTTTATTCATCATTTTCCTCAACTATTTCGCGTACACCAAGAAAGTTTAGGACAGTTATATTTAATTTTAAAAATGTAACTATTTATAAATATTAACGGTTGTTAAAAAGTAATTTAGTTTTTTATGCCTATTTCTATTATTTTATTTATTTGTTCTATATCTGTATTGGATTGTGCTCGAAATAGTCAAATAAATTGTCACATACAAATTTAAAATCTAAAAATACAATCACTAGAAAAACAAACTTTACTTACTAAAACTCTACTTTACAACACTAAGAAGGAAACTGTATGTTTACAAGAAAACAGTTTCATATTGTTTTTAAAGATTTTAAATCCACTGAGTTTTATGAAAGTTTTGTCCCAAGAAATCATAAAACTCAGTGTGGATGAGATATTTTCTAAGAATGTTTAAAGTTCTTTGTGAAAGATATATGTATGACTGCTTGTCTATTGTTTATTGAATCTTTTAGTTATATAGTTAAATGAGTATGATTGAGCCAATTTTTATCAAGGTCAATTATAATAAATTATTATAAAGATAAATGTATTTTCAATGTTCAATGTAGCAAACGACTCGGTTGAACCAAAGCAATGTCTAGGCTCTCTCTGATTATTATAAGATGAAAACTTTGACTGCTCTTTATGTATTTTCTCATCAATATAAGGGCTTGTGGCCAGTAATGGAAAAAATTACAGTTTGTCAATTTTAAAAAAAAATTGTTTGAAATTTGAACTTTAAACTTGTCTAATCACTTGTATTATAGCTGTACAGGTAGAAAATCAAAATGTAAAGTCAAATATTTCAATTCATTTAATTTACAATCACACTTCACACAGTATTCAACTCTTTAAGGTTACTAAAATCAAACCTCTTTATACTATCTAATTCCATAAGGTAACTCGCTATACAACTCCCTTTACTTTAATCGTACACGATTAAACTTTTCTCTACGTCTTACTGCGACGATGAGCTTTACGCGAATGCCTCTCCCAATTAACTAATCGACCTGTGTTTGCACCTCTTTTACAGTAGTCAAAACATTATCCGTAGTGATTTATGTAAGCAACTAATCTAATATTTATATAAAATTATCTTTTATAAGTTAATTTTTGTTTGTTCGTATTTTATGCGCTGCCATACCGTTCATCAAATTGCGGTAAAACTTTGTCAACTTATTGCTTGCACTTACGCGAAGGTTATAGGCATACTTAGCACAATTAACTTACAGTAAGTGGCGCGCGTGTCGTACGGACAAATTTATTTGAAAGTTATATATCATTCAATTTAAATGAATGTATTATCATCATTCCTAATTAAACAATATGACTGTTCCAAATTTAAAACGATATTTCCCCAATTATATCTTATGCGGAAGCAACGCGCCGTGTACTAGCTAGGTAGCTAGTAGTATATAATATAAACATAAAATAACATTAAAATTTATTATTTAAAATCAATTACTTTCCTGAGCCGTAATTCATTTAAACTAAATAAAAAATTAGGTCTGACGGAGCTCAACACGTAATTGGAATAAGCTCTTCAAATCTATTTATCAAATAAACTTCAAACCCCATTCTGTAACGGATTTTTATTTAATGTTTTCATTTCATCGCCTGACGGTGGTCCTGTGTTGTTCTTCTCAAGCTATACCCGTCGCTTTCACGTCTTACCTATCAGTGTAGTCAGTTAAAATATATATTATAAATTATTAATCAAGAGATTGAAAGTTGAAAGTTCCCGAGATATTATATAATGTTCTGAAAATGTCGACAGATGAAGAAAAGCGTGTTTCCGTATCGAACACACAATAAGGCTGGAGACGTATTTGGCACGAAGGGTTATGCTAGTCAAAACAGTTTTAATTTTACTACACGGTAGCACCTTAAACCCTCTCGTAATTGAGAGATCTTGTTGTCATAGTCGAAGGACATAAAACTCGGCACAAGGTCATTTCATCAATGGGATAAAATATGGTAATGGATTCTCTTAAGCTGTATTGGCATCAGACGGATTGAAATATAAAACTATTTTTAAAGATATTTATGGAATTAGATGAGATCGAAGCATTATCATCATTGCACTCTTCACAAGTCCACTGCTGGACATAGGCCACCAAAGAATGCCACAAAGCACGGCCCTAAGCCACCCGCATCCATCGAAGCGTTATATTAAGCATTTATTACATGAAAATATTGATGACCTCAGTGTCGTCCGAATTATATATATAAATTATTACTTTTGTGTTATATATATTCATGTGCAGAAATTACCGTGGACAACTGTCTAGTGCGTCATAAGTTTCTATTAGAAATTCTTTAAGCTCTAACACACGCGTAACTAGATATTCAAAACATAATAAAACGCTGATTTCCATTGTTAACATTGGAATGCGATCGAATTCTTAAGTTACTGTCGTAACGTAGAAAATTGTGTTAACCCGGCGCATATGACATGAAAATAATTACGCGGATGATGACTTGACAAATTTCCACAAAATGAAAGGAGTTGCCTTAATTTTATTATTTATTAAATAAGGATTGTGTGAAATAAAGACAATATTAATATATTCTATAAATGAAACTTTTATTAATTTTCCCAATAAGATGCAAATTCAATTTTGGAACATAACATAGATATTTGGAATCTGGATGTTTTTTGGTAAAGTATTCTAAAATAATAGAAACCAATAATCTTATATACTCAAAGAAAGATCACGCGAATGTCTTATCGTAACAAAAGTAAAAGTGCTCTTTTGTTACCAAATCAAAAAATCGAGATCCACTCAACTTAAATCACTTCCACCAGGTTTATATTGTACTTATATAATAAAAAAGTACACCAACAGCAAGAGATTTCAATTAGTACTTCTGACGTTTCGTTATAAGATTATTTACTTCGATTATTTAAAAAAAAACGTTAATTGAAAATAATTTAAGGTTAATAATAAGTTACGGTCCTTCAAAAGAGTTATTGCCAAGGCAAATTCAGAGCACATAGGCAGTTTTGGCGAGAAACTAGTTCGCCTTCCTTCGGGAACCCGTGCATTCTGGTCTCTCGCCAAGGCTGTCCAAGGGAATTTCGGTAAGCCATCACTTCCATCTCTGCACAGGGAGGACGACTCACTGGCCCACGACGCAAAAGAGAAAGCCGACATTTTAGGCTCCCTTTTTGCGTCCAACTCGACTGTTGATGTCGGGGGGAACACCGTCGACCATCCCGCGGTGTGAGTGCTCCATGCCGGATGTGCGGTTCTCACAGCGCTCGGTTCGCAGAGCACTCCTCTCCCTTGACGGAATTGAGTGGGCCTGACGGAATCCCCCCAATTGTGCTGAGGACGTGTGCTCCGGAGTTGGCACCGGTTCTAACGCGTCTTTTCCTGCACTCCTACTCCCTAGGGGTAGTCCCGAAATCATGGAAGACAGCTTTTGTCCACCCGATCCCTAAAAAAGGCGACCGCTCAGACCCGTCCAACTACAGGCCTATCGCCATCACCCCCTTGTTCTCCAAAATAATGGAATCCGTTATAAACTGCCACCTCATGCGGTACCTTGATATCACCAGCTGAATAGTGACCGCCAGTACGGTTTTCGTCGGGGTCGATCAGCTGGTCATCTTCTGGTCTACTTAACTCATAGATGGGCGGAGGCAGTAGAGTCCAAGGGGGAGGCATTGGCCGTTCGTTTGGACATTGCGAAGGCCTTCGATCGGGTCTGGCACAAAGCGCTTCTTTCGAAGCTTCCTTCCTATGGGCTTCCCGAGAAATTATGCAATTGGATCACCAGCTTTCTTGCAGATCGGAGCATCAAGGTCGTTGTAGACGGTGCATGCTCCGACTACAAACCTATTAACGCTAGTGTTCCATAAGGCTGCGTGCTATCACCAACGCTGTTTCTCCTGCATATCAATGATATGTTGCAAGCCGGTAGCATTCATTGCTAAGCGGATGACAGCACTGGTGATGCTCTATACACCGGCCGTGCCAATATTTCTCGGGAAAACGTCACCGAGTACCGGAACAAACTTATGTCTGAAGTCGAGTCTTTGCTGGACAAAGTCTCGGATTGGGGGCGACTAAATCTAGTCCAGTTTAATCCTCAGAAGACACAAGTTTGCGCGTTTACCTCTATAAAGAACCCCTTTGTCGTATCTCCTCAGTTTCAAGGCACTCCCCTTGCTGCCTCAGCTAGTATCGGAATCCTTGGCGTCGCCATATCGAATATTGTGCAGTTTCGTGGTCACTTGGAAGGGAAGGCCATGTTGGCCTCTAAAAAGCTTGGCGTGCTCAGCAGAGCGGGACAGTATTTCATGCCGGCTCAACGCCTGCAACTTTTCAAGGCGCAGGTTCGGCCTCACATGGAATACTGTTCCCATCTCTGGGCTGGGGCTCTCCAGTGCCAGCTCCTTCCACTTGACCGCATCCAGCGCAGAGCGGTTAGAATCGTCGACGACCGAGTCCTTTCCGATCGGCTCGACTCATTGGCGCTGCGAAGAGATTGCAACATCTCTCTCTCTCTTTGCATTTTCTTTCGCATTTACCACGGGGAGTGCTCTGAAGAATTGTTCGGATTAATCCCACCTGCCAAATTTCACGAACGCACATCGCGGCAGAACTCCCGATACCATCCACACCATTTGGATGATTGGCGGTCCACCACTGTGCGATTTAGAAGATGTTTTCTTCCTCGCACAACTTCCTTGTGGAATAGTTTACCACCAGCGATTTTTCCGGACCGATACGACTTAGGGACCTTCAAGAAAAGAGCCTACTCCTTTTTAAAAGGCCGGCAACGCTTCTGCAATTCCCCTGATGTTGCGGTTGTTCGTGGGCGGCGATAGTCACTTACCATCAGGTGAGCCGCAAGCTCGTTTGCCCCCTCTCATATAAAAAAAAAATTAATTTGAACGTCACTTGGTCGGTATTATCTTTCGAAAAACTGAACAGTTCAGTTTTTCGAAAGTTTGTGATTGAAAGGTAGTGATAAGTTATTTATCACTTTGATTTTTTTATCAACTTTAGATTTTAATCCTTAAGAAGCCTTTTGAATTTTACTATTTTAAACCGTCCCGCTCGAGGCATGCACTTAAAGATTTTTCATATTCTTTTTGAAGGGACATATTTGCTATCTGCGAGGTCATGACACCTTATGGGACGGTGGATTCACCGCGAAATCTGTGATTCTTTTTGCGTAATCCAGGTAAATTCACACGTGTCATATCATAGTGTTGAGGACAGGCCATTCGGCTTGCTTACAGACATTCAAAGAAATCTAAATTGTTCACGTTGAACGTTTTTGAATCTATTAAGGCTATTTTCCTTGCCTTTGCCTTATACTAAATATCCCCCGGTTTTGATGGTATTTATTGCCGAAATTTGCAACATCATCTAAGTGTCACTGACAACTCGTCAGTAGTGTTTATAATGTTTACAGTTTTCACACCTGTGCGCATCTACTTGACTATACAAAAGTCATATGGACGCTTTCAATTCACTTATTTTGGCGTCACATGCGTGTATCTATGTTAACTCAAATCTACACACGATGATTTTTTTGGATATGTAAATTAGCATAATATGATTTATCTTACCTATAATATCATGTCATATGAATAAGTTCCAGGATTCTCGTTAGTTTTAGCACCTTGAGAAACAAGTTTATTAGTAGTTGATTTAGATATTATATTTACGGAATGTGTACTATACATAGATAATACACTTTATACCAAGGATAGATTTTTTTTATTCTTTTTTATTTAAGGCATTTTCGTTATTCTTAACATGTCTGTCCCATTGTACCTTATAACTAAATAGCACAAAAAATATTTAATTACTTATATAATACTTAATAAATGATAAACCATTTGAGCAGCATCTGACAGTGGTTCAGAGAATATACTTTGGTATTCCCCTATGTTATACATTTTAATGTCAGTTTTGGCGACCAGTAGTTTTCTCTCGTGATAGTTTTTAGAACATTCCGCGAGCAAGTGTTGTACGTCTTCGATTGTGTTGCATGTTTCGCAATTTAGAGATTGTTTCTTTTTCATCATGAAAGCAAACTTGTTGCACGGAATGTGTCCGGAGCGAAGTCGCATTGCTAATACAACAGATTTTTTTGTTCAATAGACATTGATTGAACCAAGGCACTTTCGGAGGCTGACTCTGGATAGTGTTGTACCAAATCCCTTTTTACCACTCACATTTCAGTTTTCGAATGAGTGTACCGTGGACGCTAGATGTCGCTGTATTCTTTTAGTACAACGCGGCTTTCGGTAGTTACCACTAGATGGCGTATTTTGTCATTGACTATATTGATATTTATGAAATAAGCAGTTTTGTGTATCAGTGTCAATGTATAATCAGTGTCTATGTATGCATTCTACCTAATTTTAAATGGACAAATAGTCATTTTGTAAATAACATTAACACTAGTAAAATAAGACTTAGCCTAAGTCACAGACTTTTTTTAATATTAATATCAAAGACTGAATATAATTTTAATTATGTATTTATTTTCTTTTATGAATGTTATAATATTTAATAGCTTAAGCTTTGACATCATTTTCACAATCAATAGTTAATAATTTTCCCTTTAGCAGCCTATTAACATTGGTACACCAACTGTGAACAACCACATTTATTGTTAAATTTAGTAAATAATCATAAAACCTCTTATTATGATTTTCACAGGAGAGGAACGAAAAGTTGCAAGATATTTTCGTTTTCTGAATTATCGTATATTCGTAATTATTCGAAAGAACTGTCAACCAAGTGTATTATCCATGTGCATGGAGTGTAGAATAGAAGAACCATCTCATATGGGGGGAAAGTTGAAAAAGTGTCCAACTGTATACTGAAAATAAAGGTTCCAAAACCTACCTTTAGAACCTACTGATTAGAAGTCTCACAGATGTTGAGACAGCTAGATTAGTGTATTTTAGTTACTTTCATAGCGTAATGGCTTATGGAATTTTGCTATGGGGTAATGCGACTGATATTGAAGCTATATTTGTTTTGCAAATGAGAGCCGTTCGGGCTATTTATAACCTAAATTGTAAAGAGTCCATTAGACAAAAATGTAAAGAAATAAACATATTAACTTTGGCATCGCAATATATTTATGAAAATTTAATGTATGTACATAAAAACATAAATAGCTTTAATAAGAATAAGGATATGCATACTTTAATCACTAGGAACAAACATAAACTTGTAATACCAGTTACTAGACTCCACAGAATCAGTAATTCATTTATGGGTCAATGTATACGCTTTTACAACAAAATCCCAGAACATATTCAAAGTTTGTCAATAAACAAGTTTAAAAGTTTTATTAAAGAAAAACTGTACAAAAAGGGTTCTTATAATATCAAGGAATACATGAATAAAAATAACCCCTAGGAATAAGGTGATCGCCACCATGCTGCTTCTATGAAAAATCATTTAAAAATTGTATAAACGAAATTATTGTTAAGTGAAATATGTTTGGAAAAAAAAGTCCCGCTGGGTTTCTTGCTGGTTCTTTCCAGGACAGAGGTATTTTCCGAACCAAATAAAAAATGACTTTCAATAAGAATTTTGTAATAATCAATATTGAATAAAAAATTATTCTATTCTATTCTATCTTACCACAATAGCGCTGGCGTCTGAAAAACTACGATATGAATATAGCTGTTGTAGACGGAGTGAAGTCAGCTGAATTCAAATATTTAAAAAATTTCATAACTAGAGTAGTTAGTAAAATGCCAGTATATAAAACCTCAACTATTTACGTAATACAAAACCAAGCGGATTGGTCGGTCCTTGTTTAATTCTCCATCTTATTCTAATTACTCTTGGCGCTTTTTTAAAATTATCCTATGCTACCGCAGCGCCACCCTTATTGGACGCGTTTTTAAGGACACTGATTAATATATAGAGATGGTCCTCCTTCTACTCTGTACTCCATGTCCATGTGTCAACCGTAACCATAGACCAAAACTGCCATAGATTCAGTTTTTTTGGCTTTGGATTCAGACCCCGACTCTTAACACTATCACAATTCTCTCCGGATGATTTTTCAAAGCCATTTCACATGCTAAATAAGCAATGAATTGAATAAACAACAACCTAATTGATAGAATGCTAAAGTATATTAATACCTCGACTTCGAAGCTATTGTGTAAAAAATATTTCATTCTTGTTAGTTCTTTGATTTCTTTCTGAAAAAAGATTGCTTTTTAAATAGTTTCGAATCCTAAGAGAATCATTGTAGAAAAAATCGAAGTGCAGAAAATCGATTTCTCATTATTCGATCTTTTACTTTCCGAGCATTATGAAAAAAGACACTAACGTTATGGGTTACACTATATTTTTTTAAAAGCGCTAATTAAACTTTAAATATGTTAAGTATATTAGAAATTTATAGTAATTTTTTAGTTAATTTTTATAATATTTATAGTAAGTATAAGTTGCCAGCATCTGTGTTTCCATCTGATTACAATATGGGTGTCTTCAAGGCAAGAGTGAATAGGTTTTTGTTAAGTCAGTGCGTTTCACCATCTTAGGCTACATCACGACATACCATCAGGTGGGATTGTAGTCAAGCGCTGGCTTAGAATAATATATAAAAATTTACTTTAATAAATAAGTATCAAATATATTGTAATGTTTTCAGAAATCGTACGGAACAATAACGCCAAAATTGAAAAAGAAACGCCCTGCACCGACACCACCAGATAGTCTCACCAACTTATCCGGATGTGGACAAACAATGGAGCAGGATATGGATACTTCTGGAGTTCGTAGCAATGCTTCTGATGGTCAATATTTATTTAAATTGTTATCTCTTAAACAGTATAGTGTTGAAAGGAATTGGTTAATATGTCACTACTGTAATAAACTACTCAAAACAAAATAGGGCCCACCATGTTTTATAAATGAATTTTACAGATTCTTTTTCTTTTTTCAGTTTTTATGATTAGGAATGAATAAATTAAGGTTTTTGAAAGTGTGTGAACATTAACAAGAGTAAGTTTTGCCAATTTTATGGAATTTAGTCAAAATTTACTGTTTTTAGGAAAGTTTACAGAAATTTTTGATTTAAGTAAAGTTTGATTTTGATTTTTATGATTGACTAAATCAATGAGTTTGATGATTCTTAATAGCGAGTAGGTCCTCCTCTGTTCCGTATGCACTCTCTGAATCTATCTGGGACACTTTCAATCAAGTGGGTGATGTTTTCCTCGGGTATTCGCTCCCAACACAATTTTAGGGCGTTTATGAGCTCTTGTCGATTAGTCACATTACTGAAGTTCGATTTGAGGCTTCTTTTCAATTGGTCCCATAAATGTTCAATGGGGTTAAAATCGGGACTCATGTCCGACCACGGTAAAACCGTAATATTGGCTTCAGAGAGAGCTCTCTGGGTTGTTCGCACTGTATGTGGGCGAGCATTGTCTTGCATAAAGACGAAGTTTTCACCCACTCTTTGTGAAAATGGGATGACATAGGGCCGAATTATTCGATCGACATACCGGGAGGCAGTTATGGAGCCTTCTTCCAGAATTACCTCCTTCTCTTCTCCATACGTGCACTCGACGACACACCAAGACGTCTTGCCACCGATCTCTGAGATTCTCTCTCCTGACGCATAAACACTGCTCTTGTTGCTGTTTCCACATCCATATGACGCCGAGAACCAGGCATAATGATCGCGAGTAACACTGAAATCAAGTCAAAATTAAAAAACTAGACGTGCCACTGAAACATTCAGAATGTGACTGAGGGTACAAATGACTGAGAATTTGAGTAATAAACGTTTTTTGGAGTACTTCACTTTTTTGTCTACCCACCATTGAATTCCTGACTTGAAACATTGATAACGTTAGATAAACATGTCAACAATAGTTCGAAATGTTTAACTTCACTATTTACTACCCAACAATTTTTTTTAGACGAAATTCGAGATTAACTTGGAGTGGGCCCTATTTTGTTTTGAGTAGTTTAGTAAGAAACACAATAATTTTGATGCTAATAAAAAGAGCAGAATTGTAATACTAATATATTGGTATATGATGATGATGTATATGTCACATGATGATTCCATGATTTATTTACCTATTCTTTATTAGACCTTACATGTACTAATTCTTATTGGACTAATCAGAACGCTTCTTACGGCTGACCAGCTGACGAAAAATCATCGTTGCACATTATTAAGTCCTGTGTCAGAAAAGAATCGACAAAAAAAATTGTGTTGTAGGTGGGCGACGTGTAAAAGGGCCAGCGCCTGGATTGCCATTACCAGAAAGGAGGGAAGTGAAAATGCAAATGTCCCCCGAAGAACTCCAGGTGCAATTGGATATGTTGGAAACACAACAGCTTGGTCTCGAACGCCAGGGCGTACTAATTGAACAGATGATACGTGACAAGTGTGAGGGTAAACACTTTTTTGTGCACTTTTGTATTCTAAGTGAATTGCTGCAAATAAATTAATCATTAAGATTGATTTTCTCATTTAGTTATAAAAAAAATATTATTTGCTGCAATACAAATTTCTTGCACTAATAACTGTCCTCTTTTTTTTCTTTTTGGTTTTGGGTAAATATGTAAATATATCTTAGCTGTTTTGAGTAATATTGTGGAATTATTTAACTTATGAAATTTAACAAACTAACGTGAACTTAGACATTATTTTTCCCCTTTGTTCTGTTTGTTTTTACCTTGACAAATATTTAAAAAAAAAACCATCACATCAACTAATATTCATACTGAACACATTTTCTAGCTATAAGCGGGGCTATATAACGAGGGCTGCACTAAAAGTATCGGGAATAGAATATTTCCACTGTTCCTGTCATATTAAAATCTTTTTAATTGAAAAGTCCTTGGTTTTTTAAAATTGAATACCATTTATTTATTTAAAAAAAGATTCTCGGTCTTGCCACAAGGTTTTATCAAACTTGTTTAGTCGTTGAGAAAATGGAATTGATGATATTATGACTTTCGAAGTGGTTTAACACAAAAACAGTGTGTGCCCCATTCAAAACCACAATTTATCGCTGGTTTGCTGAATTTTAACGTGGACGTGTCAAGCTCAGTTTTGATCCCCGTCAAGTTCGTCCAAAAACTGCAGTCACCCAAGAAAACGGTGATGCTGTGCGTAAGCTGATTAAGGAAGATCGACATGTGACATACCGCGAAATTCAGGCAACTTTAGACATTGGCATGATTGAAATACAAATAATCTTACATGAACAATTAGGTGTAAAAAAGTTGTTTCCCGATGGATACCGCATTCGCTCCGTGAAGAGCAAAAAGCGGCTCGCGTTACTTGGTGCGTCAGAACTCTCGAAAGATTCCACGCAGGATCCTCAAATGCTGTATACAACATCGTATCAGGTGACGAATCCTGGATATACGCGTACGAACCCGAAACAAAAAACCAGTCACGAGTTTGGGTGTTCGAAAATGAGTTAAAGCCAACAAAAATTGTTCGTTCACGGAGTGTTGCAAAAAAAATGGTGGCCACGTTTGTCTCCAAAACCGACCATGTTACGACTATTCCTCTTGAGGGACAAAGAACGGTTAATGCAGAATGGTATGCTAGCATTTGTTTGCCACAGGTCGTTTCTGAACTCCGTTGTGGTATATTGTTAAAGGAAATAGATATAGGGTAGACTCGAAAAACTATTGTAAGACGATTTCGGGCGGTGGCAGTCTCGCAATAAACGTGGAACAATTAAGAGTGTCTTATTTCGCAGTGGCGACGAGGAATTTTATCATAATAAAATATGGCAAACATGGGTAGAATCGGAGAATTCGATGTTTCAAATGGTAATTGGAGTTCATATTGTGAAAGGTTGGAAATGTATTTTTTGGTTAACGGCGTCAAGGAAGAATTAAAGTTACCTACGTTAATATCTGTGGTTGGCGAAAGTGGATATGAACTGATGACTAACCTGTGCAGCCCAATTAAACCCGCTAAAATGAAATACGACGATGTTGTAAGAATAATGAGCGATTATTTGCAACCAAAAGCGTCAATTCTAGCAGAGCGCTATAAGTTTCGCCAACGTAGGCAGAGTGAAAACGAAACAGTATTTCAGTTTGTAACGGATTTAAAACGTTTGGCAAAATCGTGCGAATTCAAAAACACTTTGGAAGAAAATATGAGAGATCAATTTGTGTGCGGTGTACGCAGTGATATGATGCGTCAGCGACTTTTTGCTGAGGATTCTTTAACTTGGACGGGCGCAGTGAAATTAGCTACGTCAATGGAAGCAGCCCAGCGTGACTCATCAGTGGTAGATTGCACGGGCTGCGGCGCGAGCACCTCTGGTATCGCCATTGCGAACGAAAATTTAACGAGGCTAGTAAAACAGGAGCGACAAAGGATGAGCACGGCAGACTATCAAGTGACCGAAGTGAATAGGGTGCAAATGAGTCCCTGTACAACGTGTGGCAGTTCCCGCCATATTTGGCGTCAATGTCCGTATCGTAACTACAAATGTGATATTTGTGGCAAAATTGGACATTTAAAACGGGTGTGCTCGCTCGGTGAGAGACATCAAAATAAAAGTACCAACAGGCGCGTATGGACCTTGAGTACGGGATCAACTGACATTCGCGGTTCAGCGCACGGCAGAGGCACTGGCTCCGGCGTGCGGCACTGGCAAGGCTCCGTGCGTCATGAGCGCGCCCACCACGTAGCTGAGGGGGAGGAGGACCCCTCCGCACCGGCATCGGCAAGCGAGGGCGAAGAAAACGAGCATCCAATGTTCCAAATGTCTTTGAGGGACTACAAGCCGGTTAGCATTCCTATTAGTGTTGATAATAATGTATTATTAATGGAGATTGACAGAAGATCACCTAGATACATTGCGTAAGGTACTGTTAAGGTTAAGCCAAAACGGGTTTAAAATTAAGAAACAAAAATGCGTATTTTTTGCGAACGAAGTAAAATATCTCGGTTACATTGTAAACAAAGACGGTATAAAAGTTGATAACGAAAAGATAAAAGCCATTTTAAATTTACGTGAACCTAACGCATCCGAATTGCGGTCATTTTTAGGAATGGTTAATTTTTATTGTAGATTTATAAAGAATTTAAGTTTTTACCTGAATCCATTTTACACACTTTTAAAAAAAGGTAGGCATTGGTTTTGGGGGAAAGAGCAAAAGCAAGCGTTTCAGAATGTGAAATTATTATTAAGTAAAGCTGAGGTGTTAGATCATTATGACACGCGGCTGCCAGTGGTGGTGACGTGCGACGCCAGCTCGCGCTTTGAGGGACTACAAGCCGGTTAGCATTCCTATTAGTGTTGATAATAATGTATTATTAATGGATATTGACACAGGCTCTGCATTATCTTGTATAAGTTATAATTTGTATATAGAAAAATTTAAACATTTGGCATTACCCTGTAAATTAACACTTTCATTTTATGACGGCAGTAAAGCTCAGCCAGCCGGTTATATAGAGGCCCCAGTACAATACAACGGTAAATGTAAAATACTTGATTTGTATGTAATAGAAAATAGGACAACCATATTGTTGGGAAGGCAATGGTTAGCTGAATTGGGGATTGATATCCCAAAATTTCATGTAAATAGAATAAATTGTAAAGAGAACTGCAACCGCCGCATCATCCTCCATCACGACAATGCGAGTTCTCACACCGCACACAGAACAAAAGAGTTTTTAGAGCAAGAAAACATAGAATTATTAGACCATCCGCCGTACAGCCCCGACCTAAGCCCTAATTATTTCTATACTTTCCCTAAAATGAAGAATAAATTGCGTGGACAGAGATTTTCATCACCTGAAGAAGCTGTGGACACCTACAAAACGGCCCTTTTAGAGACCCCAACTTCCGAATGGAATGGTTGCTTCAATGATTGGTTCCATCGTATGGAAAAATGTGTCAAATTTCGCGGAGAATACTTCGAAAAGCAATAAATACATTTTTAAATAGTAATGTTGTGTCACTTCCTTGATTCCCGAAATTTTCAGTGCCGCCCTCGTATAAACCGTGACGGTGTTAGTATATACACTATCACATATTGTTCCGTTAGTGTCGTAAAAGACGACAAAGAGAAACAAATCAGGACATGGGCACCAGCGTCGTCTTAATAACAGCTAAAAATAACGGTGAGGCTGTAACGGTAACGGAAGACGAGGTTATAAATCATGTTAGGTATAGTGATGTGCATGTCGCGCAAACACGCGCTATCCATAATTGTTAAGATGTTAAAGTAATACTAATTGTCGAACGACTAAGTCACAATTTTACTTTTTAATAACTAAGTCTGTTTTATTATTATTTTCAGTTGGACTATACAAATATTTAAAAAAATTGTATTATTAAAATTTTGAAGGCTAGTCGATTATGTTTTTATGACGAAAAGAACGCTGCACATCATTAAGCGTTGACGTAACACCTGTAGGTGGTAGTAAGAGCGCAATATGCCCCACTACGCTCACACGATTTATTGCTGCTGACAAATTGTGTAGAGTATTGTAACCTTTTACAGTTTTTACCGATAGTGAAAACATAAGCAGAGTAACTAAGTATGGTATTGGAGTTTAAATGTGAAAAGATGTATAATGTTTTTGCACCTTTGTTGATAGGTTTAACATCTTATCACAGATACATTCAACACCAAATGAGATATTATTGTCAGTTCCAGTATTTAATTACGTTTTATATTATAGTCCAAGATCCCAGCGCCACCAGGCGTCACTTATTTTCTGACGAACGAAATGTGTAAGATTATTTCGTTCGTCAGAAAATAAGTGACGTCTGGTGCCCCTGGGGTCTTGCTTCTATTATCGTCGTTGTTGCAGAACAATAATATTAAACGGTTGATATTCCGCCAGATAATTATTTTATATAGTATGAAAAGAAGCTCGTAATCAAAAATGTTAATAAAAATATGTCATTAATCATTATATAAACGAAATTTCAGGGTGAAAAGAACTACCCGTGCGGTTAAAGAATGGGATTGAAAATGGTGTTGCCTCTATTCACCTCTCCTTCGTACACTGTCGCTATTTATACTAACACCTGCCGGTACAGACTGCAAAAAAAATTTGCGTTATACGTTTTACGTACGTTCTATAACTTCAGTCCCGCCTTGTCATTGGAATCAATGACAAAATGCCATAAACTACAAAAAAATCAGTCCGGTTTTGCTGATTTGTGAGTTACAACGCGTTCTGGGAGTTTTCTTCATAATTATTGTTGATTTTGTTTGTTAATATTAGGTCCTTACATATGAAATTGGCGTTTTGTACGGGAGGAATATAAAGTCAATTTTTTTGTACAATATATTTAATTAATCAAAGTATCCACCGTTGTTATCTATGCACTTTTGCCATCTTATAGATAGTTCATTGATCCCTTTACTAAAAAAACCAAGGGGGCGAGAATCAATAAACTCTTTGAAGGCGGTTTAGAGTGCCGCATTGGAGTTGAATTTTTTCCCTTGTAAGAAGTTGTCCGAATTCCGGAAAAAATGGTAACCTGTTGGAGCAAGGCACGGGGAGTACGGTGGATGTCGCAGACATTCCAATTATAGCTCACCTAACTTAGTGGTTGTTTGTTGTGCAGTGTGTGGTCTTGCGTTGTCGTGAAGCAGCAGTGGCCTAGAGCGATTGACCAATCTCGGTTGTTTAGCAGCTAGTTCTTCCTTCATGGTTTGCAGTTGCTGACAATAGATATCTGCCGAAATGATTTGGCCAGATTTTAAAAAGAAAGCTGTAGTGAACGACACCAGCGCTAATCCACCAAACACTCACAAGTAACTTTTTCTGAGTCAATTTTCGTGTAGGGCAGGATTTGTCTGGGTCTCCAGGGTTCAGCCATTGCGAAGAGCGCTTCCGATTATCGCACTTTTCATCACAAGTAGTGATTCGATTTAAAATCCCTTCATTATTGTGTCGGTTGAGCAAAGTAACACAGCAGTCGACGCGTGTTTGCAAGTTCGATTCACTCAATTCATGAGGTACCCATCGTTCAAGTTTTTTTACTTCCCGATTTGCTTCAAGTGGATTAATACAGTTTTATCACTTACCCTCAAGCCTGCAGCTATCTCTGAAGTGTTTTGTGATGGATCCGCTTCCACAATAGCCTCTAATTCTTCATTTTCCACTTTGGTCTCCGGCCGTCCATGGGGTTGGTTCTGAAGGTCGAAATTTCCAGAACGAAAACGTTGAAACCAAAAATGTACCGTGCTTTCTTTTGCGACACCAGCGCCGTACACATCATTAGTCCTTCAAGCTGTTTCTACAACACTGGTGCCACAGTAGAACTCGTACTCGTAAATATACCGATATTACATGTTTTCCATTCTGCAAAAAAAACAAATGAATGACTGTTTTCAAAACTCAAATGTACCAGTTAAATGAATTTATACATTTCAATTTGGTATTCTTAACCAAAGAGGAGATATTTCAGATCAAAGTGGTCAGTACGACAAAACGCTAATTTCATGTTTACTTTATATTTTTGTATAAAATATTTACATGCCACTGAGGCATGAGTAGTATTATTAAAATTTTCGTTTGTCTGTCTATCCGAGCTAATCTTCGGAATGGTTGAACCGATTGTAAAAAAAAATTCACGAACAAATAGAGAGTAATACCAGGAATGATGTTGATTAAATTTTATCCGATTTAGAGACTTTATTAAAATAGAAATATGGATAAGTTAAAATAACTGGTTTTCCATGATTATCTTAAGTCTAAATAACGCCATATTAATAGATTACAACCATTTGAAGCCAGGGCAGGTCGCTAGTTATAATAAATGTTATTTTAAAATTAATGTACCTACTTGGGTATGCAGTTCTTTTCAAATATTTTCTCATTAATAGAAAATTTCCAATTAACCGAATAATATAACGTTATAATGATATACCGTTATTAGCGGGTTTTTGCTATGATACTGTGCATGTTGACGGTACGGGCTCGATGAGCCGCCATTTCTAATCCCTTTCTTTATCTGTACGGGCTGTACCTTTTTATTTAGTTTAACGCTATTTTTTAATATTACATAATTATTAGCTTTTAATAATATCTATTTTTATTATTTTATCATTTAAATTATGTAAAATTTATGATGATTTAGGTGACGACGCTCCATCAGTACCTCAGGAGGTGATAGAAGATTTAGTAATACAATTATGTGAACTTGTTAACGAAAAGAACGACTTGTTCAGGAAACAGACGGAATTAATGTATATGTGAGTTCAAATTTACCTTTTTACTTTAAGACAACAAAAAATATGATAGACATCTTATTTGTATGATAACTTTACATCTGGTAGAGCCACGCTGCAGCTATATTATGGTAATAGCACGAATGAGTCGGCTCGATCACGGTCATTTTCTTTAAAAATTTGCTACAGCTAGGTGTCATTTTGCGGGACTAGCCAATACCAGCAGTATTCCATGCATGACCGGATTTTTTTCCATTTATTTAGGTCAACAAACAGTTTCACAATAAGAATTTTACAAATAATATATATACACGTCATAATGAAATAATGGTGAAACCAACACCGTTAACCACAAATTATTAAATAAAAAATTTGCGTGTTTTTGCTAAAAGTTAGTATTTCTTTTAAGTATGGCTATGGATTTTATTCAATCAAATTGCGTGATGTTGAATTCACGCAACAGATTAAAGAAAACTGATTTTCTAAAGGAAATAACATTCGTTGCAAATATATGTGAACGTTTCCCAGCATTTGTTATATATTTCGATATACGCTCGTTTTGGTGGTGAATTTCATAATAGCCACCATGGACCACCTTTAAAAGTTTTGGACATAATTTTTTGATGATACAAAATACATTACCATTTTTATATCTTTTAATACCATTTACAAACAATACCATTTTTATATCTTTTCATACCATTTACAAACAATACAATATGTTTTTGTTATTATCAATCAATTTATATAAACTGTTTTCATAGACGTCGACAACAGAGGCTAGAGCAAGAACAAGCCGATATTGAACACGAAATCAGGATAATCCAGTCTCGACCGGCAGTAAATCGCATCGATGCGGATAAGGTACATTTCATTCTTGCTTCTTTAATAGTCTTTTATAATTTCCTGCTGCCTTTATATTAGAATTACTAGATTGATCAATAAGTTTTCAGAATAGGACACTTATCAATGAGTGTTCTATTTTTTTCAAATCTAAATTCGTTAGTAGACAAGGCCAGAAAATACTAAATTAAAAACTATACCCAATTTTTTTTCGAACTTCATGAATTTTGTTCTTATGCAAAATGGAGAAACTCGAACTTCGTGCGGTTATTAAATATATTAGCCTGAATTTTGTTTTCTAAAAAAGTGTTTTGAAGAACTGCAGTCTACTTTGGCAGACAATGCTCCGTCTTATTCTACACTGGCATACTGGTGCGCTGAATTTAAACGTCGCTGAACCGCCTCCAATGACGACACTCGCCCCTGGTGGCCAACAATGGTTGCTACGCAAGGAAACGTTCATGTTCAGTCAACGTGTGATCTTCCGTTATTTAGATGAGATTCTAAAGCTTTCGTTCGGGAGAATTCAGTTTATTTTAATTCGTACGTTAATATTAAAAAAGGTGGCCGCCCACTGGGTTCATCGAATGTTAAAGAATGCAAGAGTAGACAATTCAAAGCTAAATTTGGAATAATTGAAAAAGATCCAGATTATTTTTGCGGTCGTTTCGTAACCGTAGATGAAACGAGGGTACACCATTTTGACCCGGAGACGAAAAAGCAAAGCAAGGTGTGGAAAAAACCGTCTTCATGTAAAAATAATGACCTTGTCTTCTGGGATGCTGAAGGTATAATAATGATCGACTATTTAAGTAAATAAGATACAATAACCGAAGATTATTCCGCATTATTAATCAAAAAACTGTACGAAGAACTAAAGAATAAACATCGAGGAAAATTGCGTGCTGAAGTGCTTTTTCATCATGATAATGCACCTGCCGTTTCAGTTGATACAACACCCACCATATTCTCCGGATCTAGCTGCGAGTGATTTTCACCTTTTTACTCATCTGAAAAATCACTTGTTTGGTATAAAATTCGACGACGATGATGAGGCGACGAGTGCTGTAGAAGAATCTCAAGTCCCAGGAGCAAGCCTTTTTTTTCCAAGGGAATTAACCAACTTGCAAAACGCTATTCAAGATGTATTAGCTTAAAAGGCGATTACGTTGTAAAATAAATACAATTTACATAATATACTTCCTAGAGTTTCATAGAGTTTCCAAAAACTTATTGATCAACCTAGTATAGGCCTTTTCAGAAATGCGCTATCCAGGTGTCTGTACTCCATCTGGTGGGGCAATTGCATCCTTTACTAAAAATAGGATTACTACGGTGTTTATGTAAAATGTAAAACTTTAACCTATTTAGCTGTATAATATGATCATTTGTTAAAAATATCAATGTAAAATTAAATGAGGCAATCATTTCTTCTTATTTTTTATCGGCCTTTTTCTAAAAACGAGCCGTATGGCAGACGACGTGAAAACAGAACCGATACTCTCAAAGTAGTGATGCTGCCCTTCATCACAAGTCGGTGTGGGATTCAGATTCTACGTTTTGAAACGAGGTAGAACAGCATCACCGCGAGGGTGTCGGTATTGCGCTTATCACTTGGCTGTGGGACTTAGTTTCCGGGTTGAGGTGTTTTAACAGGTTCACAGTTTGGTTCCCGTATCTAGTGTAAGTAGGCTTAGCACTTAAAGAAGAATTTTATACGCCCCCCGAATAGATGTCATACTGAGAAAACTATTTATTATAAAATAAAAATATAAAAAAGTGCAATGCGATCCAAATAAAAGTATTAACCAATGACCTCGAATTACCGCCGTCTGTCAACTGTCATTTAAAAAGTACGGCTTGCAAAGTAAAATTATTTTCTACTTTTATATTTATTTGACTGAGTCTTAGTATTACCAAATTTATTTAAGAACACCACCCATCTCAACGTAACAGAGGGCAGCCTTCCAGCAACAACATCTTATTTCTTTTATTCTGGTGTTCTGGCGCCTACACCAGAAAAACCACCACAACGGACAGAACCACGATACCATCTTAGCACTACTACTACGTAGAATGACTTCAGAGGAATCTCCCGCGCTCGGCAACTCCACTGATCTTTATACTGTAATAACGAGTGGGGTTTCCCGATCTACCCTCAATTTACACCGCCACCATCGATATGACGCTCCGCTAGAGCGTCACCACACCGACAAATATTATTTTAAAAATATCTGTTTTGCCCACCCTACCTAACTGGTTTCAGTTGACAGGTATGACGTCGCAATATGGCGCCAGGTCAATCCTATTCTTATTTGAATTGCATAGTATATACATTATCTCCTATTAATTGCATGTGAACAGGCACGAGAAGAAGAGCTGGTAACACGTCTCGTGGAGATAGTACGTATGCGTGACGAGTTGGTCCAACAGATCGAAGCAGAACGCCGTCGTGAACGTCAAGAAGACCTCGCCATCGCCGCCTCCATCGCCAACAAACGAGGTAAATCAAAGCACAATTATGCTTAAAAATTATTCTTTAAGTAAAAGCGTATGATAACTATTTTTGTTATTGTTTTTCATTTAAACTACAATAATTTAAATAGCTTTTTGAGCACAATAAGGGAGAACATGCATAGAAAATGCAATCTGAAAAATTCTCTCATCTACTGATCTCACCTGCGCGCGGTACACACCATACTAGACGGACAAGGCCCCGTCGACTGAGTAATGTCGTAAAATCCATCGGAAAACGCCTAACTCAAATTTCGTAGGATAGTGTAGATGCAACATAAGTGAGTGTACCGGCTGTGAATATAAGTAACTATAGTAACTAAGGTTTTCAGCTGGCGGGAATTACTTGGAAGATATGAATACGGTGCCCTGTGTAGTTAAACAGACTGTGGATGTTGATATGAAGCATAGATAGTTTCTTGATATTTCATTATTTGATAACCTCACCGAACATTAAAAAAAACAAATATAAAAATAGCATGGGGGCAGTTCAATACTTGTTTTGGTTTACTACTACTGCTACTAATTGTATTAGTAGTAAAGCAGTGTTGCGTGCTAGTTTAAGTTGTGACCCGGAGACCCTTTTTACTGGAAATGAGACATTCCATAGTACTACTCAGGGGTGACCACGTATCTGCATTTTTAAATTTAACTGAGGATAGATGTGGATGTCTATGGGCCACAGAAACCACTTATCAACAGGTGCACTGTGTGCTCGTTCCTCACCCTTATTCTATAAAAAGAAAAACATTTTTGCACATACCATAATTCTGAAAATAAGATTGGCCAAGACAAAAATTACGTAAGGATGTGAAACCATAAAATGTAACGTAAATGTCCATACAATGTAATGTGTAAAATCTACTGTTGCCGTCTGGTTGTCATAATAAAATCAATCGCATTTTTTATAGAACAGTTGGGGTATTATTGGAAAATGCCTGTGGATACCCGGCTCGCAAAGGTAATGGCGGGTTATGACAGACTCGCACTGACTAAAACCCCACGATGTTCTATCTTCGCTGCATATTTTCAGGGTCACAGAAACGCTTTTACACACATCTGCGGCCTCGTCGTCGCCGGCCGCCCCATGATACACTCTCCTCGGGCGAGGACGACTCCGCCCCTTTCTCCTTCTAAAGTAGGGCACATAAGAACACAAGGTGCACCTTTCTCCTCCGTCTCCAACTTTAACTGCCCAACAGACCTTCCTGAGTCCGATACCCAAAAGCCATGGGGTCAAAAAACGAGCGCTCTAAAACACCAGCTTTCCAAGTTTCGGTACCACTAGCCAAGTTTCGGTTAAAGAGAAGGGAGAGCAGCGCATCATAAACCCAACACTCCTCTTTCCCCCGCGGTCCCACCACCATCGCATCGGCGGTGCGTCCCCGCCAGAATCGCGGAGGATAGGGTGCGTGGAACATCACTATACCAACACTCTTTTTCTTATCCCCGCGACGCTAGGGGAAGAGGACCCTCCTTTTGCCGCAACCCACCATTACACATGCGAAGTGGGCTCCCTAAGCCCACTCGGAGTGGCACTTCGGGCCGGTCCTTCGCCTTGGGCTAGTCATGTCCGCCTCCGCCACGACAAAGCGGGAACCCCTTGGGGATCTAGCACCCCCTATAGCAGGAGTGGCGAACCTTTATATATCAGCGTGCCATTTTTCTAAAGAAATGTTAATAATAATAATAAGGCTAAAGACGTGCCGTAAAATATCTTAATTATATAAATTAGCTATGGTACCCAATAGGAGTGCACAGGATCTTATACCTCCATTCCCATTCATTGCAACCACATAGAACTCATTCTTATATATAGAGGCAGAATGCCCGAAGATCAGCACTTGGTATCTATGCGAGAAGGCAGTTATGCATCAACTCCGTACCAAACCCGGCTACCAAGAAGAAAACCAGACAAAATCCTTCAAATATTATAAGAGTGGGAACCTTCGAAGACGACCTGGTGACATTTTCTGTGCTGCAAGTCGCTGCGCTGAGAGTGGAGGAGTTACATATGCCTACCGAGACCTTGCAGGAATCAGGAAGTCACCTACCATACAGCACCGCCTGCTAAGCAAATAACAGCACGTCTTTAAAGACGTGACTCAATTCACTTACGTGACTTAAGAACATTCAACATTCAGGAAGTTATCTACCATACAGCAACACCTACTAAGCAAATAGCAACCCTTTTCAAAGACGTGAATCAATTTACTTACGTGACTTAAGAACATTCAACATAGTATTAAAGCTAGGGTCTAATTGTAAAGACTGTTCAGTAGTAATTAAGTTTGTAAGTTAGGTAGTCCATTATTCCTGTGTACTCACATTGTCACAGTAGTTAACTTGTAAGTTAGAAAATGAAAGTAATATATGTAGGAAAAAGTCTTCGCCTCTTCAACCCTCCCTAAACTGCCGCAAACGTAAGTGGCCTAATGATGCGCCGCATTATTGTTGTATTGAAAACGCTATTTACGTTATTGTATTGAAAACTCAAAAATTATAACAACAAATGTTAGAAATTTTAAAGAAAAATGTTTAAGAAAGTGTTAATATCCTTCTTCATCATTACAGCCCTTCACAAGTCCACTGCTGAAGCTGAACATAGTCCTTCCCTAAGAAATGCCACAAAGCATGATCCTGAGTCGCCTGCATCCATCAATTTCCAGCATATCTTACTAGGTCGTCACTTGGCGTGCCGCCCTACACTTCGCTTTTCAGCACGAGGTTGCCACTCGAGAAACTTTCTTCCCCATCGGTTGTCGGTTCTTCCAGTTATATGGCCGGCCCATTGCTACTTCAGCTAACGATTTCGTGTAGTGGCAGTGTAAAAATATCCACTATCCCATATCATCCTGTCGGTGTCGTAAGAGGCTACAGTGGGGAAACAAACCAGGAGATGAGCAGCAGATAACAGCAAAATAACTATAAAAAAACTGCGGCTGCCAATCCGTTTGCCAGTGTCGCATCTAAAGCAATATACCCCCATGACGAAAGGTACAGTCCGTACGGATAAAGAATGGGATTAGAAATGGCCGGTCATAGAGCTCGTACCGTTAACATGCGCAGTAACAATAACGAAAACCCGGTAATAACGGTATATCGTTATAACGTTATATTATTCGTTTAATTTAGTATCACAAATTAGTGAAAGGTGAATAGAGGCGACGCTACTTTCAATCCCATTCTTTAACCGCACGTGTAGTAAATGAGAAACTTCAGAAAGTTTAAATTGTCTTATTTTTTATTTATTTCAGCTCAAAGGAACAGCGACTCAAATACTTCTTCCATCAAGTCGGCAGAAACTGTCCCAACTCCTAAAAAAAGTAAAGTAAAAGACAAAGTTAAAAAACAATTAAAGAAAGCGAAACATTCGCTTATTTCTAAGAAAAAAGAAGACCATAATACGGAAAAAGATAGAAAACCTAAATGACTTTTTGGTTCTACTCTGCTATGTAAATTGTTAATTCTATAAAAAAAGATATCTTTTGACTTATAATTGTGTTGTGTTTCAAAAATAAAAATTAATGCGTAATAAGTAATGTACTTAAACAAGACTGAAATATTCCACTAATTTCGATCATAACTAAATTTAATCAAACATGAACAAAATTAACAAAACATTGGTAAATGTTTAGAGATATATTTAGAAAGATTGGTGCAATTTTATGTTTATTATTATGCAGTATTATTAAGTGAAATATTATGCTTAAACAAAGGTTTTTAATAATGTGCTAAAGAACTTTTGTAGCCTTAAATTGGTGCCAGACTAGATAGTACTTAATAATGCTCTTTTTTTCTGAGGATACCACTGACTATTACCATTAGTATTTACGGATTTTTATACGTCCTCTAAAAGGGAACAAATCCAGGCCTTTAGTTAATACAACTTTATTACAAGAGTTTGATTATCAGACATAAATATAAACAACCAAGTTGTAGCGGCGATGTAAGAATATCCACTCCCCATATCGTGCCGTGGGTATCGTAAGAGGCGATAGAGGAAAACTAAAACAGAAAATTGGCAGCAGCTGTTCTTGATAACAACTCAAAATAATAAAAAATCTACGGTTGCCAACCCGCCTGCCAAGCTTGGCAATAATGACAAAATCCTCCCTATGAGGCAATCTCTGGGAGAGTCCATATACAATATGTAACAAAAACCCTGTGGTTCCCGTTAAGTACGTTATCAGGATCATTATTCAAACGTATAGAAATAACTTTTTTAAACTCGAACAATATTTTTTTTACTTTATTTAAAAAAAAATTGTATACAAATAGTATGTGGTTGTATTACCTCTGCATTGTCTGGGGAGTAAGAGGATTGTCAAAGACTCCGCCTTAGCTTTAGCGTCGGCTAGTGTCAGTAAGAGGTAATAAAACCACCGAATTAGAAAAAAAAAATATTTTTTAAAATATGGTCGTTTTTTTAAAAAAAAGTTATTTCTATAGGTTTGAATACTGATCCTGATAAAGTACTTAACGTGAACCACAGTGTTTTTGTTACAGGTTGTATAGATCAAATAAACATCATTTAAGTTAACATCTATTTTACCCTTGTCAATTGTACCATGCTTATGCTCATTCTGATTTAAACAAATTTAATCAGTACATATTATATAATAAATTATTATTATCGAAATTAGTCCTTTGCGATAACACGGGATAGATGTAAATTTACACAGATGTAATGAACTGACATTAAACAATAGAAAGAATACTTAATATAAGCTAAGTGAAAGTTCAAAGCAGTTATTTAATGATCATATCCGAAAATATAATTATCTTAACGAGTCTCTGAAAGAAAGGCTATATGTGATAATTATTTACATTTGAGAAGTTTGTTTTTCCACTATTTCGTATACTAGTGTACAACACCATTTTTAAAATATTTTTGGCTATAAAAGAATGTAATTACTAACCTAACCTTAGGTACTTAACATAATTTTGAACAGATTATTTATTGATCGGCGACTCTTGGTTTTTGAATATTATTCATTATTTTTAGAATAAAACAATTGTGCTAATTAACATTTACTAATTTTATCTAAAATTATAAACTATTTAAATGCACATTTCTTATATTACTCTTAATATACCCCACCATAACATAAACCTTTAAGAAACCGAGGTTGTTCATGTGGTTGCATTTACTTTATCCTTGTTTCTTTAGCATACAAATTGATTTTGAATTATTGTTTTAAAATACTCTTAAAATTTATTTCTATACTCATAAGTACGTACCGAATTATATATTATTTGTTGTAATACTTTAGTTGTAAGGTGACTGATTCACAAAAATATTAAAAGATCTAAAAACATAGACACAAAAATACGCTTACAGACATTATGTATGCACTAACAGATATACCTATTGTACACATACTTACCAAGAGTTAATATAATATATTAGACATAAGAGCACTTAACACAAGACAGTAGCACAAATCCTTTATTAAATATAACCCTATTAGTGAAATTTTGTTTTATTTTCACAGAGAAACTTGATCCCCAGGTTGTTGTCTTAACCCTACAACGCATAGTGTTTAGTGTGACACATATGGGTCATACCAAAAAACTTCGATTTTTTAAGTAAATAATCTTTGATGATTTTGTTTACTATTTTTTCCAAATTAGAAGTAATTTATATAACCACATATTTTATTCATTACCGAAAAAAAATCATGCACTGTGGGGTTAAATTTTGAAATGACCGATTTAAGTTATAAATATGGTTTATTTTTAAAAAAACAACCATTTTTTAAATAAAACTAATTTTACGGATTTTATCGCGTATATTAACTTATTATTAGAAAAAAAAAAAAACTTAAGGTAGCCGGGCTAACTATGACAGCAGGACGTCAAACAACTCAGTCCCCCGTGACCACGGGTGCTGGAAAGCACCCGAAACGTCGGGAATATAAAAATAAGTTAAAAATAAGTTAATATACGCGATAAAATCCGTAGTTTTATTTAAAAATGTGTAGTGTTCGCGTAAATATAAGAAAACAACCATTATATTGCGCGCGCACTGTGCGTGTGCATGCGCGCGCGCACTCGTGTGTGTGTGTGTGTGTTATGACGTATGAGTGGCTTCCGGTCATCCGAACAGTAGTTAAAACGTAGTGATTATATACTTTGGGTATAATGATGAACTAATCCCAAGAATTTTTTAACGTTTGTCATACTAATCATACAAATGAGAAATAATTTTCCGACTTTCCGTTACATGTAACAACTCATGTTCACAATACAATGTTGTCCTCTCACCGTTAATTTTATTAGTAATATTTTAACTCTGTTAATGTTAAAAAAATAAACTAAAGATCTTTGAGGTATCTCAACTACTGTTCATTTACTCCATTGCACCGTAATTAAGTCATATTTTTAATAAATGCGTTAACATTGGTACTTTTACAAATTTAATGATACAGTAATCCCCTTTTTAAAAAAACTGGTAGTAAAAATGATACTACTAATTTTAGACCTATAAACATACACTACCAGACTCAGACACTGTGTGAACTATCTAAGATGTTCGATTGCTTAAATCATGATACACTGTTAATAAAATTAAGGCATTATGGTTGGCTTAATCCTATCTGGGAGCACGGCAGTGCCCCGCCAAGTCGAGCAAAAAAGCGGCACGGCCGTACCATCCTTTTCTCGAAGCAGTTCAGGCCATTTTAGAAACCCTATAACTTCGTTGTGGATAAAACTAGAAGCCTGAATTTTCACTAACCAAGTAGGCATTGTAAAAACTTGGTATATTTCAAATTTCATTAAATTTGAACCAGTAGTTTAAGAATTATAACTAGTCAAACTTTCTTAATTTTGTCACTCACTGACTGACCGATCATCAAAACTCTAAGGCACTTCTAGCAGACATAGAAGTTTGGAATACAATTATTGTTTAGTATATAAATCAAGGAAAAATTAAAATATTTTGCAATTTCGGTCCAGTTTTCGAGATACACCACTTGCATAAATAACTTTGTAATCCCATATAAATATATAGGATTGCAAAGTTACATTTGCAGGGAATGAATCAGTATACATATATATGTATAATGGAATAATAGGTCTAGATAGGTACCTAGATATAGCTATTTACAAAAAGAAATGAGATGCCATCAAAAACATAACTTGTAAAAAAATCAAGTCTTGCAAGGTTGGAGGGTGGGCGTTGCGCGGCGGTTTGTTTTTAATTTTACAAACGGCTGCGTAAGTCCAGCGGTGATTGGTCGCATGTTTTATCGCATGACGCAGTCGCTCGCTCCTTAGGTAGAGAGCGGTTGCATCATCGGTTTGTATAAAATGCACTTGTTTTGGCTCGCCGCTCACTTAGCGGTTAGCCACCGTAGAGTCTATACCACCTGAGGATGCCTCGTGTAGAGGCAAAACACGTGTCGTATTATTGTCAGTGGTGTGTCTTGCCTAGTGTAGTGGTGTTGGGAGTAGCGGTGCTGGGATTAGTGGTGACGGGGATAGTGCACGCAATTGAGGGAGGGCGGGAGGTGCTCTTCATACTAGGTAAGACACATCATTTTATTTTATAACGCGGATATTTGCGAAGTAAATTTTTGTAAAAGCTTTTATATAATGGATTTCCGCAAAGTAACGCCTGATTCTATTAATTATATTAAAATGCTTAATATCATGAACTGAACTTAACTAGTAATTTTATTTAAAATATAGTTTGTGATAGGGTTTTTTTATGGATAAAGGGTGACAAACGAGCATACAGTCCACCTGATGGTAAGTGGATACCGTAGCCCAAAGACATCTACGATGCGTTGTCATCCCTGAGGACTAAGATGGAATGCCCTCGTTTCCAGTAAAAAGGGTCGGCGGTTCTCTACACTCACCATACATAACACAACAACATTAAGCTACTGTAATAGTTTGCCTTTAAATTTTTTTGATATCTTATTGAATATCTTACCCTTTTTTAATTTCTGTAGTTCTTTAATTTATATACTTAGCACTCAAATATATTTTTATGGAATAATATCTGTTGTTTGGTTTATTTATTTTTAATCTTATTTATATAAAATGTAACTAATAGTACAGAAAGAAATATTAACCTTTATATTTTCCAAACAAATTAACTTCCCCGTCATGAAATATTACACTTCGCCTCCAGGTCCTTCAAAAGAGTTATTGCCAAGGCAAAGTCAGAGCACATAGGCAGAACTGGCGAGAAACTAGTTCGCCTTCCTTCGGGAACCCGTGCATTCTGGTCTCTCGCCAAGGCTGTCCAAGGGAATTTCTGTAAGCCATCACTACCATCTCTGCACAGGGAGGATGACTCACTGGCCCATGACGCAAAAGACAAAGCCGACCTTTTAGGCTCCCTTTTTGCGTCCAACTCGACTCTTGATGACGGGGGGAAAACACCGCCGACCATCCCGCGGTGTGAGTGCTCCATGCCGGATGTGCTGTTCTCACAGCGCTCGGTTCGCAAAGCACTGCTCTCCCTGGACATCCAGAAGTCGAGTGGGCCTGACGGAATCCCCCCAATTGTGCTGAGGACGTGTGCTCCCGAGTTGGCACCGGTGCTAACGCGTCTTTTCCGGTACTCCTACTCCCAAGGCGTAGTGCCGAATTCATGGAAGACAGCTTTTGTACACCCGATCCTTAAAAAAGGCGACCGCTCAGACCCGTCCAACTATATGCCTATCGCGATCACCTCCTTGTTCTCCAAAATAATGGAATCCATTATTACCTGCCAGCTCATCCGGTACCTTGAGGATACGGACCGCCAATACGGTTTTCGTCGTGGTCGATCAGCTGGTGATTTTCTGGTCTACCTGACCCATAGATGGGCGGAGGCAGTAGAGTCCAAGGGGGAGGCGTTGGCCGTTAGTCTGGACATTGCGAAGGCCTTCGATCGGGTTTGGCACAAAGCGCTTCTTTCGAAGTTCCCTTCCTATGGGCTTCCCGAGAAATTGTGCAATTGGATCACCAGCTTCCTTGCAGATCGGAGCATCAAGGTCGTTGTAGACGGTGCATGCTCTGACTACAAGCCTATTAACGCTGGTGTTCCACAAGGCTGTGTGCTATCACCAACGCTGTTTCTTCTGCATATAAATGATATGTTGCTAACTGGTAACATTCATTGCTATGCGGATGACAGCACTGGTGATGCTCTATACACCGGCCGTGCCAATATTTCTCGGGAAAACGTCGCTGAGTACCGGAACAAACTTGTGTCTGAAGTCGAGTCTTTGCTGAACAAAGTCTCGGATTGGGGGCGACTAAATCTAGTCCAATTTAATCCTCAGAAGACACAAGTTTGCGCGTTTACCGCTAAAAAGAACCCCTTTGTCGTATCTCCTCAGTTACAAGGCACTCCCCTTCTTGTCTCAGCCAGTATCGGTATCCTCGGAGTCGACATATCGAGTGACGTGCAGTTTCGTGGTCACTTGGAAGGGAAGGCCAAATTGGCCTCTAAAAAGCTTGGCGTGCTCAGCAGAGCGGGACAGTATTTCATGCCGGCACACCGCCTGCTACTTTACAAGGCGCAAGTTCGGCCTCACATGGAATACTGTTCCCATCTCTGGGCAGGGGCTCCCCAGTGCCAGCTCCTTCCACTTGACCGCATCCAACGCAGAGCGGCTCGAATTGTCGACGACCGAGCCCTTTCCGATCGGCTCGATTCATTGGCACTGCGAAGAGATGTTGCATCCCTTTGCATTTTCTTTCGCATCTACCATGGGGAGTGCTCTGAGGAATTGTTCGGATTAATCCCAGCCGCCAAATTTCACGAACGCACATCGCGGCAGAACTCCCGATACCATCCACACCATCTGGATGATTGGCGGTCCACCACTGTGCGATTTAGAAGATGTTTTCTTCCTCGCACGACCTCCTTGTGGAATCGATTACCATCAGCGATTTTTCCGGACCGATACGACTTAGGGACCTTCAAGAAAAGAGCGTACTCCTTTTTAAAAGGCCGGCAACGCATCTGCGATTCCCCTGGTGTTGCAGTTGTTCATGGGCGGCGGTAGTCACTTACCATCAGGTGAGCCGCAAGCTCGTTTGCCCCCTCTCCTATAAAAAAAAAAAAACCTCACTTTTAAGTGGCGCGCTCTGGTGGCAGAAAAAGTCGTGGATGCCCTCATTAAAGTACAACTCTAGCAACTTCAGTGACATTCTCAGTTTTATTTGCAGTAGCATTTCACACTTCACACTAAACAAGGCAGTCAAGGCAAAAATTTTAACTAAACTTCAAAAGTTGGCAAAATTTTTTGCAGTATGAAAGAACGCAATCAATATTACGCATAAAACCACAAAAAAAATATTCGTGAAAACAAAACATTCCAAAACTTTTTCTTAATAGCATATAGGTACTAATGTTTATGGCCAATACACACGATACGATAAAACTTTTTTTTTCGTATTTGCGTTTTTTCTTGAATTTATCCATAAGTATGCTTTGTAAATAAAAGGCATATCCTCTAAAAGAAATTATTTATTCACATAATTATTGTCTACTTCAATTCTTAAATTAGATTGTTTGGTTCTGCTTATTACACTTCGTAAGTCGTCTGGTTTTTTCTGTTTTTTTGATTTCAATATTTGTCGTAAATCATTCTGTTCATTTTGATTATTAGATTTTATGTCTAGTCTAGACCACACACTTGCAGTGTTTCTTGGATTATTTTTATTTACTTTCTGAACTCTACTCATCATATTAAAATCTGAATTATCTGACATTGATTCATCACTTGAGCAAGCATCTCGAACTGGTACTACTTTTGCACCTAATCGAGATTGTATACTCTTTTTTTCGGTGTTATTAGCGGATCTAGCGTTACTTTCAAACTTCTCAGATAGTTTCGATGTTTTACGTGGTGTATAAGCACTTTGAGTATTTAAAACTTCAATTGACAGAGGAGCATATGAACTTTCCTCATCACTGCTTTCAATAGGTGGCTTTTTTTGCTTGCATTCTTCATCATCTGCATGCATTCTCATTCTCGGTGCTTTAGATTTTTTTTTCCAATCTGAATCTGATGAACTATCGTCATGATCTTTAACTTTGAGATTTCTCTTTCCAAGGCGCATTGCTAGTTGTTTATTTCTTATTTGTACCTTGTTACTGAAGTCAGCTTTATCATCGTCATCGTCATCTTGTGGTAATTTACGTCGAAATATTTCTTGATGGTCATATACTCCCCAGGATCTACATAAATCACCCCAAGGGTTTTTGGTATCTAAGTTGACATTTTTATCGAAATCTTTAATATTTTTGGTTTCCAATTTGAGCTTGGTAACTTTCTTATCACTATTTGTAGCAAATCTCATTAAAATGAGTTCTGTATTAGAATGCGGTATGCCTTCCCGCCAATGATAAGAAGATTTTTTGAGAAGCATATCTTTTAAATTGTCATCATTTATTTCGCGTGAATGAAGTAATAGAGCCAAAGCAACAGATATGTGATCTTGGCAAACAATATTACCTAAAATAAAACCAGAACACAATTAAAAAAAGCATTTCTATAGGATCTTATATTGAAATTTTTTTATATTTTTTTGAAGCAACGATAGCCTAATGGTAGGGTGCGGCACGCAAACTCAAAAGGTCTTGGGTTCGAATCCGTTAATGGACGACTGTCGTGGAGCGATCCTAACACAACTATTTTAAGCTTACTAGGTGGTTAAAGAGAATGTTATTAATGTTAATAGCAATGCTAGTATTAATATAATAACTTAAGTTCTAATATATATAAATAATGATATATCATTGTTGCAGTTTTCTAAATACGAGCAAATAAGGCTTCCACTTTTGCCGCACGCCTCATAACGCGAAGCGTTATTAGGTAGTGCTTTTCTGTCGACACGTCAAGGTCAAGCAATTTTTTTTCTTAAAATGTCTCTATTATAACCATATTGCACTTATGCTATAAGAGTAGCCGTATGTCAAGAAAACACATATATTCTAAAAAATTATTTTATATTGCTACTTTGAAAAAAATTTGACATGGACGTCCGGATGTTGATTTTATATGTATTCATGATAACTGAAAACCTCAGTCCCCCCCATGACCATGGTTGCTGTGAAGTACTTGAAACATTAGAAATATAAAATAAGTTTATATATGTGATAAAATCCGTAAAAATTTGTTTATTTTAAACAATTTATACTGATGAGCCTTACTGCTGAAAGCATTTTAAGCTAGTCTAATAGAAAGTACTCTATATCAAAAAGGATCCAGCCCCATATTCTCTTGAATTTTTTTATAGATTAAGGGTTGACAAACAAGCACACAGTCCACCTGATTGTAAGTGGATGCTGTGGCATATAGACATCTATATTTATCCTCGATTAGGAATCATAATGCAGATACGTTGTCACCCCTGAAGACTTAGATGGAATGCCACAGCTCCAGTAAAAAGGGTCTCCAGTTCTCTACACTCACCATACAAAACACAGCAGCAATAAGCTACTATTTAACACTGTTATTCTGTGAAAGCATGGTGATTATCATTTTAAATATGAAACTAAAACTAACGATACATTATAAAGTTAAAAATATGAAACATTTTCCGGCTTAGCTTTCCATTGACATCCTTCGGGTTGGAGGTTGATATTTTTTTTACAGAAAGGTTACATTATTATAAGCACACACACAAAGATTCGATTTTCGGAGACTCGTACTTTTTGAGAAAAAGTTATTGAAAATCAATTATTTTTGCAATATTTATGTCAATTCCTACGGTAAAACTGACGCTATTTTGTATTGTCATTGTCATCGTTAGTAGGGAAGTAGATTCTTTCCGAAAAAGATCGTTTTTAAATCGATTCTAATCATAAGCTGAAGTATCGATTCACAAAAAAATAGTTTTCTAAAATATCAATATTTTTTCATGTTTGCATTTATAATGTAAATATAAATCCAATTTATGAACAACATAAAAGACACCATTATAAATGATCTCTTATTGAAATTTATTTTATTTTAACAGTATCTATTACGGCAGATAACAAATAAAATAGGTTAGGTTCAACTTATGTCAAAGAACCGAATTAAATGAACCCGACTCCACCGGGTATGACTCTGTCCTACCCCTAGAGTATTTTTATAGAGCCAGAGGCACGTAGGGGGAGCAGCCTCTGCCTGCTGTAACAGATCATAGGTATCAGACGAGCCAGAACGGCTGAGGCAGGTTGCCGAAGGTGACCAACAATCAAAAGCTGCTGAGGGTAGGAGGGATACCTGTGATTTGTTACGTATGCATAAATATTGCAAAAATAATTGATTTTCAATAATTTTCTTCTCAAAAAGTACATGTTTCCACATGTTGAAACTTTGCGTGTGCTTATAATAATGTAACCTTTCTCCAAAAAAAAATACCAACCCCCAACTCGACGGATGACAATGGAAAGTCGTACTCATTTTCCTTAAAATTCAATAAAATCAACAGATTTAATTTAAACTTAAGTTCTAAAAGTAGCTCAATGTGGATTAGATACTTTTTGTTTAACTATGTCCAATTATACAAACATTCATAAAATACTGTAAGCCCCTTACATGAATTGTCATCTATCCATTCGATAGCCACTGGCTTATAATCTTCAAGATACTCAAATATCTCCTTTGTAGAGAGTCCATCAATTCCATTCAAATGTAGAGTGTCAAATCGAAAATGCCTTTCATTAACATCCTTTATTCCAAAATTTTGATATAATTCATCAATTTGTTTCTGTGTAATTATTCTATTCCCTGTAAGGCTAACACCAAATCGTTTAGCTCTTTCCTCGATTTTAGACGCGTCTACCTTTTCAAGTTGCTCAACCACGAATCCATTCTTGTCCCTTTTGTATAACTAAAAAGAATTAATCAAATGCTTTATATTTTTATAAATTTATTACTGTCACATTTTCACTAAAGTGTATTGTACTCACCACCGTATGTTTAACTTCATTTATTAAAGTAGGTTCGACTAAATCTTCAGTGAGCATTTCACTATCACTCATTTCACCTTCTTCTCTTTCAATCTCCATTTCCATTTTAAATGAATGCTACAAATATTTGTTTATTTAAACTCAAAATATATAATAAGTTATTATGCAATCATAAGTTCATCTTAATTTATTTAAATAAAAATATCAACAAATCTGCATAAATCTAAATTTATTAATCACCATAGATTTGCCATAGATAATATATACATAACACATATTAATCACCTTAAACCATAGATAAGATAAATAAATATGTAGCAAGCTTAGTGATTGGTCAACTCGATTTACAAACTCGAGTGAACTCGAGTTGCGCTTAACTCGAGTTAACTCGAGTTGGCCCAAGCGCGCAAGATAAACCATCACAGCTATTTCCTCGACGTCCATTTCGAAGCACTCCGTACTCGAAACTGCTCGAAACTGATAATTTTGGCCGCAGTTCTGGCTGCATGTTTGGTCGAGACACGCGCCAGTGCGCGCTAGGCTTAACTCGAGTTTGGGCTGCTGTACATGAACTAGGCATGGGTAATATCACTTTTATCCTATATCAAATCGTACCTATGTGTGGATATGAAAATCCGATTTTGTATCTATATATTTCAATATCTATATATTCGTTAATATCTTCGTTCTGAATAGAAGTCAGTACTCAGTATCACATAGTGATGCGCGATTTATGAACGAATTTCCATATATTGATTTACAGACATATTGTATTATTTATGTAATATAAGTATTCTTAATGTATCTCATAATATAGAATAGGATTTATCTTGCGAGATAGTGAAATAGAATATTAAATTGAATCGTGTCGTGTTTATGCCATCTAGTGTATATTGTTTATATTAGCGCTGATCAATTTTTGTTCGATAAAATCACTTGACTTATATATAGAATCTAGAAGGTGGCGCTATTACAAAATATTTTTTACTCCTTTACTCTAAAAATATATATTATTTTAATTTATTACCCTTAACTTTAGGCTCTTCATGTTTAAAAATAAGGATTGCAACATTTATTTGCTATAAAATTATACCTTTATTTTTTATGCCATACTTGTGGTTATTGTTAGTGGTTATACCCCTACGCCAAAGGACATTATACGATATCTAGAAAGCGGGTATATTTTTCCAGAATCGGTGAAATAAACTTTCCTTCATAATTTTCTCAGTTTTAATTTACATTCCAAAAATAACATTCTATTAAACACACAATAAGATCTAAAATAGTTTATTTTGAAAATAGTGCAACACAACAAAATAATAATAAAATTATACTACTTAGACTGGATATTGAAAATTATGTGTTCTGTAATAAAGCGTATGTTACTACTAATAAGGATTAATATTAAAAATATTATTCCTTTTTATGATGAAGTGAAGATTAAGTGAGAAGAGAATGATTAAGTGTGTTACGTCATTACCTTTTACGGGTGAACAGATTTCGATGATTCTGTTTTTATTTGAAAGCTGGAATTCTCGTGTGGCCCCATATGAATTTGATCAATGTCAGACGAATAGTTTTTGAGTTATTCTTAATAACTTATGTTGAAGTCGGCTGTACAAAATCTTTAATTTTAAATTATATTATAAATTAACGCCAATTGTAACACTTCACTTACAATAAATATTTTAATTTGGAAAAAAATTGAATTTATTTAAGAATATTTTTACTGTGACAGTTAAAATGTTAATAGTTTATGTACCTATATCTTAAAGCTAGACTAATATTGTTTCGTGAAGATTGCTACATAGCTAGTTTTGTTGTTAAATACAAGTACTTATTATGAATAAGATTAAAATAAAAGATATGTAATACATACTAAATATACATTTTTATTTCAATCCTACATAATAAGTTTGGTAATTATGGATATCCCAACCCGCCAAAAAGCTGGATAGAAAACAAATTTATAAAAAAGTAATTTGTAACAAATCATTTATGTACTCTGTTTCGTACTGCTAATTTGAGTTGCGTAACTCGAGTTTAAACTCGAGTTACGTGAATTTCAACTCGAGTTAACTCGAATTGTAATTATTCCGAGTTGGTACATCTATAAGCAAGCTGCCTTTAGGTGGCTACTGACGTGCCTGCCGCAGGGGCAATCTAGGGTGTAGGAGTGGGAATGACCCTTAATTGCCTCTTTAATTGTGATGTGTGTAGGCAAGCAGGGGCAATTTTTAAGTCGGCCCTGCGGCAGGGCGGCAGGAGCGCAAGACCTTCCTTGCTACCTAGATCGGCCCTGCCGCTGTCGCGTGTGTAGCGCAATTGGGGCAATTTCAATCAGTTCGTTGCGACTTTCGCTCGGAGCACACGTATGAGCACAAGTCAGAACCGCAGATAGAACGTTATTTGAACGTTACAACGTTCAAATAACTTACAAGTAACATTACTGGGATTTGTTACCTAACTTATCATAAGGACTAGTATGGGAAAGAATATATTCCAATAGTATTAAAATTGCTGGAATTGTAATTAACTAAGTAATTAAACAAAAATACAAATTTTAGTAATTAAATTTATTAAAACTCATAATTAGAAAACTATCCTGGCTATTTGTAACACTAGTTAAATTATAGTTACTAAGCACTAGATAAGTTAAGTTATATCACAGAATAAATTGGTTATATTAAATTATGACGAGTGAAGTTAGTCAAATTTAATTGTCTTTGATAGCTTAAAAATAGCGTGGCTGAGCTATGCTGCAGCTTATAAGCACTATATTATGCTTGTACTTATTAATTAGTTAGTTGTTTTATTGATAAATGTGGGTGTCTATGGGCCACAGTGACTACTTACCATCAGGTGGACTGTGCTTATTTGTCACCCTTATTCTATACAAAAAAGAGCCAAGGATATATATAACGATTTATTGATATTTCGATAAAACTGGCGCCATTCTCAACACGTGCGTCCAGCGAGACGTACACTCCCATACTGAACGACAGGCATGTGCGTAGAGACAGCGCCGATATTGCTCCGATCGCTGTGCTCCCTAGATTGCCCCTGCGGCAGGCATATCAGTAGCGGCCTTAACACTTTCACCAATCACCATAATTTTTTATTACTTGCTTGGAAGCTTATCTTTTAAGCCATGTCTCCATTTCATTTGGGATCTTCGTTTTTATAGATTTTCAGTATCAAGTGATAATAATCTTTAATAGTACACTGCTTCACAATATGTTGATGCATCACATTGCGTAGTTTTTTGGAGATTTTGACGGCAACTTGAGCCAGCAGACAGGGATAATATGCGTAGGAGTAGTCTTGTCTCTTTCTAGTTTCATTAACCAGAGGGACCTGATTAGGAGCTTAGCCAAGTAAGAATTGCATTTAAGTTTAAAACCAACGCGATTAAATTTGTAAAACTTAAGATCTTCCTTAATCATTAAAATCGCGGCAAAATGGTAAAGGTGCAATATATTGATCTAAATTATTACGTGAAATCTTCTCCGAATAAATACGTTCACACTCAGCATCTTCCGGAGAAAGATATATGCGGCAAGGTACCTCCTCTATTGCCCCAAATCGGGACACAAGATTATCGATGCGGTATATTAGTATGGGTATATTAGTTTGGGTTGCATGGTTTGGTCTCGCGCGCAGACTTGACGACTTCCAGCCTGCCGAACAAGCCGGTTTCCGAAAGGGCTTTAGCACCATAGACCACATACATACCCTTCAGCAAATTGTACAGAAGTCCGAAGAGTACAATTTGCCACTATGTCTGGCGTATGTGGACTATGAGAAAGCCTTTCATTCCGTCGAAATTTGGGCGGTGCTGCAGTCCCTTCAGCGGTGCCAAGTTGACTACCGGTATATCGAAATGTTGAAGTGTTTTTACAGTAGAGCTACGATGGCTATCCGAGTATAGAACCAGAGTACGAAACCTATCCAGTTGCAGAGAGGTGTAAGACAGGGTGACGTCATATCCCCGAAACTCTTCACCGCTGCATTGGAAGACGTTTTCAAGCTTCTGGACTGGAAAGGATACGGTATCAACATCAATGGCGAGTACATCACTCACCTTCGATTTGCCGACGATATAGTCCTTATGGCAGAATCGCTGGAGAACCTAAGCACTATGCTCAATGACCTCAATAGTGTCTCCCAACGGATAGGTCTTAAGATGAACATGGACAAAACAAAGATTATGTTTAATGTCCATGTCACACCTATGCCGGTAGTTGTTGGGAGCACTAAGCTCGAAGTTGTTGACGAGTATGTTTACCTGGGACAAATAGTCCGACTAGGTAAGTCCAACTTCGACCGAGAGGTCAATCGACGGATTCAACTTGGCTGGGCAGCGTTCGGGAAGCTACGACACATTTTCTCGTCAGACATACCTCAAAACCTTAAAACGAAATTGTACAACCAGTGCGTGTTGCCAGTGATGACTTACGGATCTGAGACGTGGTCCTTCACTGCTGGCCGTATGAGGAAGCTCAAGGTCGTTCAGCTAGCTATGGAGAGGGCTATGCTCGGAGTTTCTCTGCGTGATAAACTTAGAAATGAGGATATCCGCAGTAGAACTAGAGTAACCGACATAGCCCAACGGATTAGTAAGCTGAAATGGCAGTGGGCCGGCCATATAGCTCGAAGAACCGACAACCGATGGGGAAGGAAGGTTCTCGAGTGGCAGCCTCGGACCGGTAGGCGAAGTGTAGGGCGACCCCCCACGAGATGGAGTGACGACCTGGTAAGGTATGCAGGAAGTAGATGGATGCAAGTGGCTCAGGACCGTGCTTTGTGGCATTCCTTGGGGGAGGCCTATGTTCAGGAGTGGACTTATGAAAGGCTGTAATGATAATGATGATGATGAGTTTGGGTTGCAGATGAGATGTACGGGCGTGACGAAACGGGTTCGAACGACATATCAAAATGAATATGCGAGTAAGATTCATGCGAATTATTATATTGGATTGGTTTATTAGTAGAAAGATCGCAGTAAAGTATGATGCCTTTTGTAGCATTGTTTACAATTAGTTTGAGATTAACAGGACATTAAACTATGTCGTACGCTCAGACAGTTAATACAACGTTTGTCAGCTTTTAATAGTATTAGATTTTATCAATCGGACTTAATTGAATAAATTTAGATCATTCATATAACAAGCTATATTTATCACTGTTACAATAGCAGCTTTTGTTTACGTTAGTATTCACTACAAATGCTTGCGTGCGGGTGCTGGCAAAACGAAGATAAGAGGTTACTTTTTTACACGCGGGAACTTAGCGAACATTATTAACAAATTGTGATTAAACAAGGTACGCTGCAATATCTTAGTATGTTCGCATATGAAACGACAAAACTCTTCATATTTAGTAAAGGATATTTTAAAATACATTTTAAATATCTCATATGTATCACTGTCGAGTTTACTCAGTGCTAAATGTACCAACAAAACCTCGGCTAAGTCATTAATTTTAAATTGAAGGCGGACACCGAACTAGAAAATTCATCAATAAATGACTCTTAAGTTATTAGCATTCGCGTCTGATAGTAGTTTAACATTTAATATCTATTGAAAATAAGAGGCTGCAGTAGCGCGATTATTTTCGTACCTATTTGTGTACGAGTGGGTTATAAGCACAGACTAATATGATGTTTAGTTATAAAGAACCAAATAGTTCATAGGATCGGGTGTAACTCCAACAATAATTCCTTGCGCCTTTTCTTTTAGTTAAATGGAATACTGAATACGCTCAGCGTAACTTAAAGCGGGGTAATTATGAACGGTGGCACGAAAAGAAGCGATAAAAATTGGTAACTTCTGAATATCCACAGATTAACTTCACAGCCAATGCCAGATTGCTAAATGTCATTTATAACAGACGCGAACAGACACATAGTTAGAGCGGTTGAATAGTGATGCGCCAAGATTGACACGCTTATGCGTTATTGTACTTAAGTTATTAATTTAATTGTATAAGTATTTCTAAATACTAGGTAGGTCGTTAATTATAAAGTAGGTAGTCATACATCCCGGCATTCCCGGATTTCACCAGTTACCATCACAGTTCAAGCGTAAGCGAGGGCGAAGATTGCTGAATTGCATCTGGAAGACGTGTCGACGTGACGTGTTCTTTAGCTTAATGTTCTAGAGTAAGAATTAGAACAGTCTTAGTTAGGCTCACACATGTATCAGACATGTAGTTTTAAATTGTAATACATCGCGTATTAACGAATGTATCGCACATTATTAGTTTTAAGTATAAAATAAAGTTAAAGTTTTAGCATATCAATAAAACACAGGCATAGATACGAATTTATAAAACGATGTTTTTTAATCATTCACAAAAATCAAAGTAATTCACTGCCTCTAAAAAGGGTTAACTTATTATATAATTATGGTTTTGATTGCTTTATCGCAATTCAATCTAATGTCAGTACATTGTTTAATGACATTCATTAATTTAAAAAAATTGTGAACATTTACACGTAATTACGTAGGTACTTACATAAATAAATGCCGAAACTAGTTTTTAATCTCTTTAAACTAAGTGTAATGCTACTTCAAACTTAAGCACTGGTATTGCAATTACCGGCCAAATTTGCAGAGAAGATTCAGTATAAGTCTAGTAATATAGGCAAATAGTGAAGAAAAATTAATTTAAAAAAATCTCTAACACTACCATTATTATCTCTTAAATTCAAAATACGTGGTACTGCATTATTTTAACTGACTTTCAGTCATAAATATCTTACGTTTACTATTTTATGCACGCACACATTCGTGAGGGTACCTTGTACATTTGTTACATCACTAAATACCTGCGTCCGCTCGCCCATCCAAGCCAACAGCTGACAGTGTTGATCGTGACCTCATTACATACGCTTTGTTACCAATGACGTAACAATAATATTCGAACCGCGGGTGAAATAGTGCAATATTAGTGTTTACCATGTTTGCAAAAACAAGGAATTAACGCACGTGTACCACCAATCGGAGAACAATTTTTTGCAACTAACCAAAGGCTGTTAGACATTAGACAGTTCACCACTCCGTTACATGGAAGTGTTCGAGTTGGTCATTCAGTAATAAGTTCGGCTGTCGAAAACGCAGTGATCGAGTCAAAGACTACAATATTATATAGGGAAGATCGAGTTTTTCTAGCGAAAACCCGCCCCGATGCAGCCCGAGTTTAGAGTTAGCCAGTACGTGTGGATACTACTAAATTCTTCTGGATATCGCCCATTTCATTGCCAACGTGTACAAGCACTGAATAATAACGATGTTCCGCCTCGAAACCATTTTTGTGAATGGTTAAGTGATTGCATATTTAAACATATTACGCCGTTCTACAACGAATGGCGTACGCACCGACGCGACGTTCGAGTCGACCTCGACTGAGGTAGACAATACTCGGCACTATTCGCATTGCCTATTATCGTGCAAATTAAGTAGTAACAGTGTGACCATATGTGGCAGGTTCCTGCCATTTTGGCAGGATTGGCCTCTTATTTTAGCCTCTGCTATGATCGGTTGACGTTTTATAAAACCTGGCAGTATTTGGCAGTATGGGGGTATTAAAAAAAGATTTCATCATGGCAACTTAAAATGCCGAAAATAGCAACCTAGATACTTCGCTAGCATGTGCGGGATTTCACAGTACTTCTCGTATTGTTTGTATAACATTCAATAAACACCTTTAAAAGTTTGTGCGTAAAGTTGATAATTTTAAAACGAGTATTCATAAACACACAATTACAGTTAATATTTCAATCAGTCATAGAAGAGACGTACTTTAGTTTGGTATCGCATTAGTTTTCATTTATTTACTTTATTGGAGACAAAACAGAAACAAAAGATATGAAAAAAAGACATACAAGTAAAATAAGACAATGGTAATTACAATTGTTTCCTACAAACTGTCTCACTAAGAACATACATAATATTTATTTTATGAAGCAGGTCGTAATTGGTATCGTCTGCACAACAAGCAGGGTCACAAGTTTGTACTTAAATAAAAAGAAAACAATCATCTAACATGTACAATACTAAATACTAAATATCCTTATATATCTAATTCATAATTGTTACTAAAGTACTTTTTAATTTAGTTTTAAAAGCTGAACGGGAGATAGAGAACATATCGATGTCGTTAAGCATTTTATTGTGGAGGACACACATTCTGTGTACTGGTGTTCTTTTACCAATATTGGTTCTGGTTTTTGGTATATGAAATAAATTTTTCGAACGTGTGTTTTTGGGTGGTATTCGAAACCTTACCTCGGATAATAACTGTGAACACTTAATCTCACCAACAGAGATATTCCTAAAAGTTGTGGCGTCGATTAAAGTGCGTCGGTCTTTTAATGATAGCATTTGATATTTTGTTAAGAGATTTTCATAGCAAACGCGAGGTGAATACATTCGATAGTTAACAATGCGTAAGAATTTCTTTTATACCTTTTCTATTTTATCTTCATAAACTGAGTAGAATGGATTCCAAACGGGATATACATATTCTAGACGAAGTGCGAGGTGCGGGGCACATGATGTGATGCTCCGGCCGCGCGCCTCCCGCTACACCGATAATGTAATATTGATATCATAAGTAATTTAGTTAAAATCAGTATTTTCTTATCGAATACTATTACATACCGATGAAAAGAAATATCATTGTTCTTATTAGTTTGCTTCTGTGAATCGTTTTTGCAGCTCGACATTGCATATTTCATCATGGTAACTTAAAATTCAAATATACGAGTATACCGTAGAAAGAAATAATTTACGCACTTAACCTATCGTGACTAATAAGAATGCCCTTTCACACAGTTCACACCCGTGCTTACTGTTCTGACTCACTAACGCGCGCTCTATAGCTTGCTTATAAATACTCTAAGGAAAATATAAATATAATTTAATAATGCTTGCTATTTAATTAATATTTATTGTTTTAGTCGGGAATCTGAACTGAGAGTCACTTTCTATCTCGTATAAAGCTAGTGTAAGAAGTTATTTTGATTGTATAGCATATAAAGACAGTAGGTATGTAAATAGTTTGATATAGTCACGGAATAAATAATAGTTAAAAGAACAGAAGGCTCACTCTCTGATAGCAAAGTTGCGAGTTGTGAGAAAGTTGCTTAAACTTAGTTACAATGTCGCTAATGTTCATAATACTTTGCACGCCTCGGAAGTGACCTTCGTGAAATTAACCTACAGTTTATTACGTCGAAAAAAAATTTTTGTGGTGCGCGTATTAAATCAAAATGCACCTTACGTCCGCATGCGAGTGTCTGTATCACTTAGCCCGTTACGCGCCTTTGTTAACTTTGTTAAGACCGATTCTACTGTAGGGTTAGGTGTTGTGAGAAAACAAATTGAATTCTTTGATATTAGTTGGTACATAGTAGAATACACAGAGGTGTTATGCAATATTTCTTTTTTATTTCGTTAAAAAAAAACATTACACTAGGACTTTCTCCTGTATCGTGGAGGCAGCTGACAAACATAAAATGCACAAGGACAAACATCTAGACCCGGAACAATTATTTATAGGCCATATAAATACTTGTTCCGTCCGGGATTCGAGTCCGCTGCAACTTACTACTAAGCCATTGCGCCACGGAGCCGTCACTTGTCTATTTCATATTTTTTTGCTATTTACAAACACGAGACACATGACTTCATTATTAATGAAAGAGTGGCAATGAGAAGTGCTGCTAATTTCAACCATAAACCAGTATATGCTGATCTTGCATTAGTAGGCAGTAACTAGTACTGGGAGGTCTACTTACACTGAACGTATTTTAAGGTCATTGGTTTTATACGCGAAAAATTTAAAACTGCGAAGCTGTGGTCGGGTCACTAATCAAATAATAAATCTATAACTATGGCGTCAGTAAATAAGTACCTAATTATCTAGATTTACCTATAAATAATAATATATTACCTTTCGGTATCCTTAAATGAGTGGAATACAACAAGAGGCACACCAGCGAAAATCTCACTGAATTCCTGAAAAACATCATGCGAGAATGGAATATTGATCATAAAATTACCGCAATCGCCAGCGATAATGCCGCCAACATTACAGCAGCTACAAGGGAGGGTGATTGGCGGCAAATTCCATGCTTTGCACACACATTAAACCTCTGCGTCCAATCGGCGTTGCAGCAGTTGGCCCCAGTTTTAAATAAGGTGAAAAGCGTCGTCGAGTTTTTTAAGCGGAATACCCAAGCGAATCAAAAATTAGTAACAATGCAGAAACGAATATGTCTTCCAATCCTCAAACTAAAACAAGACGTCGCCACCAGACGGAACTCTACATACGACATGCTGCATCGGTTTAGCTCGACGAAAGATGCTATTATAGCCACTATAGCCCTCATCAAACCTGACCTGGCACTGACTGATTACAAATGGATGATAATTAAATCGGTTCACACTGTATTGAAAATGTTTATGACGTTACAGTCGAAGTAAGCGGCGAAAAAAATATATCACTAACTAAGGTCATTCCATTGTGCAGAATTATGCTGGTTCATATTAGGAGCAGGCTGCAAGTGCAAAATACGGATGCTAATCAACATATACCAGAAATAAAAAATGTTATTGAGCATTTACACAAGGAGCTCAATCATAGATTCGGTCACATCGAATCTAATCTATATTAAACGCGAAATCTACAATTCTGGATCCACGTTTTAAGAATAAGGGATTTCAGGACTCGAGGTTGTACGGTAGGGCTCTGCAAGACTTAAAACTTAAAAATGAACGAAGTTCGTCAAGGACAACAATAATGCCAGCGGTAGAGGCAGTGCAACCAGAACCTTGCCCTAACCACTTAATTTGGTTTGAGTTTGACCAAGAAGTGGTTAGGCAAACACCGGACAACCCAATGGCGGCGAGGATCGTAGAACTCGATAAATACCTACAGGAGCCGCTTTTAAAGCGTACAGAAGACCCCTTAAAATGGTGGCACGCTCGAAGGAACATATATCCTCTATTATTTAATTATGTTTTGAAAAGACACAATCTCGTTGCTACGTCAGTTCCTTGCGAGAAAATATTTTCGAAAGCGGGATATTCGCTGAATGAACGTAGAAGACGATTGACGACAAAAAAGTGTCGCAACTCCTATTCATAAGTTGCAACTCTGATATTTGAATAAGTATACCGTGTACCTTATTCAAATACGTGTGTTTGAATAAGTACGCCGTACACCGTGTGGTGTGCGGCGGAGTAGAATACCACCACCCCATATCTACCTGTGGGTGTCGTAGAAGGCGACTAAGGGAGTGTGGAAAAGGACTGAACCCCTGTACCTTTTTCACTGATATACCTACTGTTCCATCTGTTCGAGTCCCTCTCCGGTCGTAACGGTCTCCGTTCCACTGGGTCCAGAGGGGCAAAGACGAGTATGTGCACCTGTGTCCGCGCGTACACTTGTGCACGTTAATATGTCCTGCGCAATTGACCTGCTTCCAAATAGGACTCCGATCTATAACCAATGTCCTACGGCGATGGGAGGAGGTAGAGAGGCTTGACGTGATGCCCGTTGAGTTTTGTCTGACTCCTGCACGTAGGCGGTCTTGGGGGTGTAGTGTACATCGTGGTCGCTTCTGCTCTGCAACGGGGTGACAGAGCGGACTCGGCAGCACCCAAGGTGACAAAGCAGCCCTATTCAGGGAGGCACTGCTTTCCTCGCTCAGACGGGGAGGGGGCTAGAAAAGGTGCCCTAAACAAATGCTCACTCCAACCCCTTTAGGATGGTAGCAACCGCGGCTGCCTCCGCATCATAAATTCGCGGTCGGCGCTACAGGAAAAATAATGGAAAATTTAATTTATCAAAATCAATGACATTTGGCGCGTGGAATGTGCGCACACTTCTTGACCGCGAAGCAAATGCCTGCCCTGAGCGAAAAACTGCCATTGTAGCTCGGGAACTAAGTCGCTATAATATTGATGTGGCTGCACTCAGCGAAACACACCTCCCCGAGGAAGGAGAGCTGGTAGAATATGGCGGCGGGTATACTTTCTTTTGGAAAGGACTCGCTTCCTCGGAGCCGCGAAGGTCTGGTGTAGGCTTTGCTGTCAAGAACTACCTTGCTGCTCAACTGCAAGAGTACCCTGTACACATCTCGGACCGCATTACCACATTGCGCCTTCACATGGAACGTGAAAGCTATCTTAATATCATCAGTGTCTATGCCCCTACGCTGGACAAGTCTGATGATATTAAGGATAAATTCTACGAAGAATTGACGCGGTGCGTAAATCGTATTCGTCCAAGAGAGCAAATCCTTCTCATGGGCGACTTTAACGCCCGAGTAGGACGAGACTATGACGCCTGGCCTAAAGTTCTCGGCAGACATGGTGTTGGTAAAATGAACAGCAGCGGCCAATTGTTGCTTAGTCTTTGTGCACAATTGGATCTTGCAATTACAAATACTATGTTCAGACTGCCTGCCAAGTACAAGGCAACGTGGATGCACCCCAGATCGAAACATTGGCACCTTATCGATTACGCCATCGTGCGTCAAAAAGACATATCTCAAGTCCAAGTCACCCGTGTCATGCGTGGTGCTCATTGTTGGACTGATCACCGGCTTGTTATTATTAAATTAAATCTTCGTCTTCCACCTCCTTGTAGAGTGGGAAGATCTAAACAGATACGTCTGAACCTCGAACGACTCCAAGATACTAACACGAAGGCTAAATATGCCGAAACCTTGAACACTGCTCTGCAGCCCCTCGATCTAAAATTAGGTGAGATCGATGTTGTCTGGGAGTCTCTATCTTCTTGTGTTCTCGACACTGCTAAATCTACTTTGGGTTTGAGAGTTCGAAAACATGAGGACTGGTTTGATGAGAATGATGGGATACTTACAGGCGCTATTGATAAACACCGTAGGCTCCTAAAGCAGCACAGTAGAACTCATCAGAGTGGAGGTGCTATGGAGTTGCGTCAAAGTGATCTGGAGCTGCGTAAACTCGCACGACAAGCGAAAGACAAGTGGTGGCAGGAGAAGGCTCGTCAGATGCAGTGGCTCGCTGATACCAACCAGCTCGGTGAGTTTTATGCTGAGGTGCGACATCTACTCGGTACGTCCTCTATGGCAAAAGTTCCACTGAAGTCAACTAGTGGTGGAGCGCTTTTTAAAAGCAGGGAGGAAATACTCGGGCGATGGGCGGAGCATTTTAACACCCTACTTAACGTGGATCATTTTGTTGACCTAGACCACGTTCGCTGCCTACCTCAACAACCTTTCGCCCTCGAGCTAGATGAGCCAATCTCGCCTGGCGAGGTTGCTCTTGCCATTAAGCAACAGCAAAATAAACGCGCGGTTGGTGTTGATTTTATACCGGGTGAATTATTGAAGTATGGCGGTGGGGATTTGTATTCAGCGTTATGGGAACTTTTTGTCATTATGTGGGAAAAAGAACAAGTCCCTAATACTTTTAAGGTATCCCTCATACGAGCCCTATATAAAGGCAAGGGTGACCGGTCAAACTGCAATTCTTACCGTGGCATTTCTCTACTTTCAGTGCCTGGAAAAGTCTTCGCCAGACTTCTTTTAAACCGCCTCAGGAAACTTTCTGAAAGGATTTTGCCGGAATCCCAGTTCGGCTTCCGACCTGACCGTGGTACCTGTGAGGCGATTTTCTCATTACGTCAACTACAGGAAAAAAGCAGAGAACAGGGTCGTAATATGTATCTCTGTTTTGTAGACCTTGAGAAGGCATTCGATAGTGTACCACGTGAAGCCCTCTGGATAGTGCTGCGGAAAATTGGATGCACGGAGAAGTTTGTGAGACTTCTGAGACTCCTGCATGATGGCATGCAGAGCTGCGTCGCTGTAAACGCTGATCAGTCAGAATTTTTTCCCGTTACCTGTGGAGTAAAACAAGGGTGTGTCCTTGCACCCACACTTTTCGCGTTATACTTTGCAGTTGTAGTCCAGGAAGTCTTAAAAACTACCCATGATGGAATTCGCATTCGTTTCCGCAACGATGGCAATCTTTTCAGCTTAGCTAGACTTAAGGCCCGTACGAAAGTGTCTTACGCACTTATTACAGAGATCGTCTACGCAGACGATTTATGTTTTGTGGCCGATTCCCCAGCTGGCCTGCAACAGCTTGTGACCACCTTTCATGAGTCGTGCCGTATTTTTGGTCTGAAGATAAGTGTTAAAAAGACGGAAGTGATGTCTTTAGATATCTACGGTCAAGAGACACTGGCCGTCAAACTCGGTGATGATATACTTAAGCAGATCAATACATTTCGTTATCTGGGGAGCACGATAACATCAAAGTGTGACCTTGATGCTGAAATCAACAGTCGAATCGGTGCCGCGGCTGCGGTATTCGGTAAACTGGATCGCAAGGTCTTTGGCTCACATGACCTAAAGCTGGCTACCAAAATTGGTATTTATAAGGCGGTAGTGCTGCCTAACATACTGTACTCTTCAGAGTCATGGACAGTTTACCGCCGTCATATACGGACGCTGGATCGCTTCCACTTGCAATGTCTGCGCAAAATTCTCAACATCCGTTGGTCTGATCGCATTCGGAATACGGAAGTGTTGCGTAGAGCCTATACCATGGGGATTGAAGCCTACCTTATGGGGCGACAACTCCGTTGGTGTGGACACTTATCGCGAATGTCAGATCAGCGTACGGCTAAGTGCATCTTTTTCTCTGAACTTGAGAAGGGCAAGCGTAAGCATGGCGGACAACTTCTCAGGTACAAAGATGTACTTAAGCGCCACATGACGAAGTGCGACATTGAGCCTTCAGAGTGGGAGCAAGCAGCCGCTCGACGACCGGAGTGGAGATCTTTGGTGAAAGCCAAGGTCAAAATGTTTGAGGAGAATCGATGCTCTGAATTGGACGCCCGACGTGATGAACTCAAAGCACGCCCACCTTGTGCGATTAACTATAATTTCTGTAATGGTGTGCTCACCTGCCCGCATTGCACGCGAACATTTGTAAATAAGATCGGCTACGTTAGCCATGCACGAGCACACCAACGACAAGATCGGAGCTGAAGAGGTCGCCGTGGCCGAAATCGGTCGAGGAGATTATTATTATTATTATAAGTATAAGTATGTGTAAAAAACGATATGTAAATATGTAAATGATGCTGTAAATAATAATCAAAAAACCACTGTACATAGCTACTGATTAATAAATACGCCAACCTAAGAATCTAATTTTGACTTAATAAATTCAACTACGTATACCTAATATTTTACACGATAACTGAAATAACTGCACGTAAATAGGTTGCCAGTCCTAAGCCTGGAAAAGTATGAAGGTAAATCGGTAAACTATATAATATATATTTTCTTCAAATAAATACAAACCATACCTACCCTATGTTATTTACGTTAATCATTAATTTAATTATTAATTTAAACTAAAGATTTAAGTAAACTTTTCGAATAAGTGCCTATTAATATTTATCAATCATAACAATA